ATTCTACTATTCTTCCCATTCTCTCTAAAATATAAGCTTAAGCTGGCAATATTTTAAATTATTTGCATGGCTCCAATATCTCTTCTAAGGGATAATCATGTTATGAAACTTCTTCAATTATTTTGTCAGGATTTAATTAACATAATAATTATATATTGATTATTAGAAAGTTGGAATCTAATTTATTACCCAATTCTCTCTCTCTTTTAATCACATTTTCAATATATTGTAATTGTAATTCTGGAAATTATGATAATTTCTCAATTACTACCTTTTCTGATTCACTATTATAATTTGAAAATATTATTCTAGTTTTATTCCAATCAATTTGTATTAAATCACTAATCTTCAATATTAAAGCTGATTTCATTTGATTAAAATTATCTTGATCTGATTCCTGCAATTCCTTCATTCTCTTCTCAACCCAATCAAATACAAGACTTCTTACAAATCTATTTTGTGAAGTCAAAAAGAAATTAAATGCTCTAGTATACTCTTTCTTTCTCTCAGCAAAATATACACTAATCATTGAAAATGTTGTGAAATCTGCTTCATAACTCAATCCTAAAACTGCACTTGATATTTCCTATTCCAATTTAATTGCTATATTTATAAAATATTAACATTTCAAAAATTCTATTATATCTTTTTTATAATACCATTATTACACTAAATCTTTCATTTTTTAATCATCTTTAATACTATCAATTAATTCAGTAAAATAAATCCAACAAAATACTTGTGGATTCTTTAACAAATAACTTAAATATTCAACTATTCTGGAACCATGTCCTCCAAAACTAATAAAGTATCTTATTTAAAATAATATAAATTAAATTTGCAAATCATCCAAAAAACTCTCCTGTTTGTAAATTTATTAAAATGATTTTTAAAACTCATTTTCTCCTGCTTATATCACACTTATCACTTTACTAATGATTAACATAGTTCTACTAAAATTACTATTATCATATTTCTTTTAGTATTCCAAAACTTTTAATAAAACTTCAAATGTAGATATTGTTTATAGAGTCATCAATTTTTCTATAGTCTAATCATTTAACAACCAAGTGACCAATTATTTTTTGATTTCTATTTATTTTTTCTCCTCCATTATATCCCCCAAAGCATCATTATTAATAAAGATCATTTTTATGATAGCCAATGCTCTACATGCATAATAAATACAAGTCTCAAATTAAGATTTCTCTATCATTGTTAAAATGACTGACCAAATTTTTAAGATTGGAGTCAAGTATTATTCCATATCCCCTTAAAAACAAATTATTGCTAGACTCTTCATTAATCCATACTTCAAACAAATCTTAATTAATTGATCAGATTTTATTATCTTATGATCCAAAGATTAAATTAACATCTAAATTAAATCTAATCGTTTTTCATTAATGTATATTTCAATAATTTTATTCAACATATTCATAGGAATCCTTCTTACATACTTTTATTAATAAAATGGTTATAAACAATATAAAAAAAACTAATGATTATCTTTTAGACTTTGATTGACATCATTCATAATCCTTTCAAATAACAAATCATATGAATCACACTTTAACAAAAATTCTATCAATATTGATAACATAATTTGATTAGTCATCTTTAATTCTTACAATTTATATTTACTAGCATCCTACATAGCTGAAATATTAGTTTGAATCAATTACATACAAACCTTTATATATTTTAATGATAGTTCTTCAACACTATGTTTTATTAATGAATATCTTTCATCTTTATTCAATTCTATAAATTCACTATAAAATTCATTAAAACCCAAGTATAAACTCAATACATAATTCATACAATAAAGCCACTCTTCCTCTTGAATTAAATATTTTACTATCTTTCCTTACCCAACCAAACTACTTTAAATGCATCTATCATTAAAAAGAGCATTATAATGAGAAAATTGTTGACTATAATTACAAATAGGATCATTGTATAATTTTAGTTTGACATATTATTGAGTAACTTTTTTCATTAATGTTTTACACCTTCTAAATTAATATCCTGTAGGCCTATATCCTGGATTATCAAAATATTAATGTTTAATTGAACTTAACTATTATTCTGATAAATTCATATCAATATGAAGAGTATTCATAATTATTATTCCTTTTTCAGAGTACAATAAATAAAGAGAATCCTTCAAAAATTCACATTCATACACTAAACTCCCTGTATTTATATATTAAGATCTATGAAATATTGATGAACCCAATTCAATTTATCTGTCATTCTCCAAAACTAAATGATGTAATTTATTATCCCATACAAATGCAATTACATATCTTCTTTACAATTAATCTTTTATTCTCACAAGACCTCTCCCTATAGCACAAGATGTTTTAAATATTGATGAATCTCTTACTTTTCTTGGATTCTTAAATTCATAAACCAATTTAAACATAATCTCCTTAGTATTTGTGATTTCAACATAAACAACCCAAAAAAATTAAATGCTATTAATTCCTATTAATATACGATTCTCTGTCATTTAAATATATTTCATTGATCCTGTTGGAAATTACATTGTATCAAGCAATTCCCATTCATCTATTGAATAACTGAATATGCTTTTTGTATAATTAATCAATAAAGATTATCCTGATGCGTCTATTGAAGTTGTTACAAACTACTCCTCTTTATTTTTCCAAATACATTTTATTACTATTATTCTTTGTATATGAATATTTGGAAATGTTTATACCAAAATACCTTTATTACTATCTATCAATAAAATAGTTTTATTTTAACCACAAATTAATAAATTTCCATCCTTACTAAAATCCATACATGATATCTCACCTAATGGTAGTATATACTCTTTTTCTTTTTTCTTATTCCATATTTATAAAGATTCTGCATAAGCTATTGCAATCTTATTTTTTTATACTGCCAAACACTTTGGATTAGGTCTTGTATGAGGAAATACTTCAAATTCAAATATATCTTTCAGTTTTGGTTTATAGTACAATGTTTACGATTAAAGTGGAAATGAATAATCAAATTGTTCATTTTAATACTTAAACTTTGTTCCATCTAATGAAATCTCTTATAGATATTTTGGATTCTAGAACTCCTTCCTGCTTTATTATTAATTTGTACTAAATGATTTGATCCAATTCTGAAGAGTAAAATTGTTGAAACACACCTTCAGGAGTTATTTCTGTTCTTAAAGCACTTTCATTCAAGTCTAAATTAGCTCTCCTCTAATCATACTTCTACTAATCGTTGTAGTACATTTGATAGTGTATATTAATATAATTTTATATTAATGAAAGAAAAATATAAATCAATATAAATTGATTACTTAATTATCTAAGAAATTATTCATAATAGAAATATAATAATTATAAGATGTTAAATTTGTTTTATGTAAGTGAGGAAGTGTATTCTTATGAAAATGAGGATGTAATAAAAAAAGCATTAGAGTTTGATAGAATAGGAGAAGTATAATTAGATTTACAAAATAAATCAATATGTTATAAAATTAATCGTAGAAGATGTATTAGATTATCAGATTTAATATTTTGGATTGTAATACATATTCATTTATATAGGAATCAGATTTTATTCGTATTCATTTAGGATAATTGCTTTATTTATTTGTTCTATTATTAAATTAAGTATAACTAATTGAATCTTAAGGAATTGAACATAATTATCTTGATTTAAATAGAATTTGGCTTCATTTAGCAGAAAATAGTTAGCATCCATCTCTTATTTATCAAATATTAATATATTCAATCCATTTTACAGGATATTAATGTCCAACTTATGAGAAATTTAATGATCCATAAAAAGCCTCTATTAAAATAAAAGAAATTATATAAATTATCATTAATCGTTGTTTTAATAGAATTCATTTAAAATGGATTAATAATGATAAAAGGAATTAAATATATAATGAAATAATGATACCAATAATTAATTTATGTAAATCATAAAATTCAAATAATTATGATATCATAATATGTATTTAAGGTTTAATGAAGAAATATAATTATAAAGAAGAATTATAAAATAAATTAATTTAATGTTTAGATATTGATGATAATTGTAATGATTATATAAACTCTGATAGACAAAAGGTAATTCCGAAAGTTAATGAGGATTTAACAGCAATTATTTAATTTGCCAATTAATATGGATAAATAGTAATTGAATCTTTGTTATATTAATTTATTCCTATTATAAGTAAACATTTAGAATCTTACTCAAAACTTAAATTAGATTTTATTTTCAAAGCTTAACAAGAATAAAAAATGATAAAAGAAAATGAATCTAAAACCAATTAATAAATTAAAGAACAAGTTTAAATAATGATTTAAAATTCTCTAAAAGAAAAAGAAAAGGAATATAAATTTGAAATCACAGATGATGAAATAAAATAACTAGAAAAAGAGATCATAAATTAAGTATTACAATGTTAATCTCTTAAATATTTTAATAATACATTTTGGTTACATCACAATAATCAAGAAATTCAGAATTATCAATTATCAGCAGCAACTAAATATATGGTTTAAATTGTTGAAGAACAAGTAGATTTACTTTTTAAAAAAAAATATATGGTTTTGATTGATGAGTTGATTTGATTAAGTTTTTAATACAATATTTTCATAATAAATTATTTTGAGAAACCTCACATTATATTATTTTATAGAATAATTATTAGAAATTCATTTAATTGAAAAATAAATAAAAATATATATAAAATCAAGTTTTTTTCTATTAATTGGTAAATTAAATTGTTTCAATTAATTTTGAAAACAGTTTGATTTTTTCAACATGATATTAAAATATACATGAGTTGATAGAATTAATTATTAGATCTATTTAAAATTAAAAAATGTTCTTTTATATCAAATCTATGAATCTAACATATTTGACTTTTTAGATAAAAAATTTTACTTTGTTTTAATTATATATTAATAATTATAAATTGATTATTTAAATTTATACTATGATTCAAATCAAATCAGTTTTTGATTATAAAATTTGAATTCTATTAATATTTTAAATTTATTAGATTTCAATAAATTTTTAGATAATTTTGAACAATAAAAAAATAAGTCAATCTCATTCTTGGTCTAGACCTATGATACATCTGAAACTGTTTTATTAAAATGTCTTATTCTATGTTGAATAAAATATTGATGAAGATAATCTGGAAAAAATAATATTTCATTTTACTTTCTTGATCCCATTAAAATTTTTGATCTAGACGATATGTTCTATCTAAGTTTTGCATAATTATTTTTCAATCTTTTTTCTCTTAATTTGGATTATTATAATAGATTAGCCAAATATTTTGAGAATAATGAGTTTTTTTTGATTTTATTAACAAAAAAAAGTAAATATGTTATAAAGGGATACTTAAACCTTTTATAATATACTCCTGTTATTTCCATAATAAATGGAAAGCAGAGTCTAATACAAAGAAGAATAATGATGATAGAGAGAGCAATAGAAAAGAATTGATGACTAAATTCTTCGCTTACATATTTAATTGCAGCAAGGAAGATTGATATTGAACATATTTATCCAGTTCTTAAATCTAAAGTATTGAATTTTGATAAATAGTAAGGTTTGCTTATTCCAGCTAAAATTTAATAGACAAGCAAACACAATCCTAACAAAGATGCTTTAAGTTACACATCTGTCTCAAAATAAGTGGTAATAAGTATAATTATAGCTTTATTGGAAATCTTAATGAACTCCCAAAAGTAATTTGTAGAGGAATATTCATTAAATAAATAACAAATGTGTTTTCTAAGTTTGATTATTTCAAGTTGACTTCTTTTAATGTACATCAACAGAAATAAACCCAAAGGTATAATACAACCAAATACTAATAAGCCAGGTATTATAAAAAAGGTTATCCATTAAAAATGATTATGAGTACCATATTTAAGTGAAACATCACCTTAAATATAATTAATATTTGAAATCTTTCGAATTGAAATAGTTGAACAAAACCTATTAAATTTAAAGGCTACATTTATACATTTTAATTAATCCTCCATAATTAAAAACAAATAAATAGAGTAAAGTATTTGATAGTATACTATAATCAATATGTTATTTTTTCAATTTTAAATAAATAAATGATCCTGCAAGAATTATGCAGAATTAAATTAGCATCAAAAATAAGATCAAAAATATTCTCAAATAAATTAAACTAATTCCATAATTAGATAAATAACAGTCTAAATTATATGCCATAAAATAAAAACTATTACTGGTTGAATCAATCAAAGTAAATTAAAATTAAAAATTAATATTAAAAGTGAAAATTACTGAAAATATCCATAAATAATTTAACCACATTTTAATTAAAATACTTTCATGATCTTATATATAATCAGATTAATACCTTAATTTAATCTAAAGATGATATTACTGAATTTTTGTCTTATTTTTAGTGATGAAAACAATCTATTTGATTTATTAATGCTTCTTAAAGTTAAAGTTATTGATATCAAAGCTCTAAATAATATAAATCTGATTTTATACTAAATTAATGCTAGAATAAATGGAAGTACTCCATTATCAATTCCTTAGCATATAAAACAACGAGAATCCCATTAATTCTTATAATACTATCCATTACCTATGATATTATAAATATCACATTCTTCACATAAACCTCCAATGTGTCCAATTTTACATAGTTCATCTCCAACACCCCAACCTCCTTGACAAAAATTTAAGTTTTTAAAGCACAATTAAGAATAATCAGATAAATAGTGTGGTCTCCAATTACCTCCTTATAATTAAATCATGTTAGCTGTTATGTTCAAAAACTTAGTTTTATCAAATATAGAGCATTTAATTGTGTCATATGTAACAGAATAAAATCCTTGGTTTGACTAACAGATTTGACATCCATTATCTACATAGAATTCTCCAAGTTAACATTTAAAGCTATTTGAATTAATTAAATATTTCAATATCTTTTTTGATTCTCCTGAATTACAATTCAAAGTAATTTGCAAATATTTTTCACTCTAATTATAAGGATCCAAACTAAAAGATAAATGACCAATATCAAAACAATTGTTTTATGAATCAAAAAATATTGATTGATTTCTACTTAAACTTAATTCTTTATTTGAAATATTTGAAATAACCTTATCTTATACTATACATGATGAATCTTTCATATCTAATAAGACTTCATTGTAACTATTTTTAAAATATAAACATATTTATTTAATATATTTAATGTATTATTTTTCTTATAAATTAAATAAGGCATACTTATAAATTTACTAATTACTTGGAATCATTAAATTATTAGAAACCTTTATAATATTTTGTTCAATTATTTTATAAGGTTATAGATTCAATAAATTTATTTTATAATTTTCTTACTCTAATTTTAAAGTAGGTTATTCATTAGAATTTATTTATAAAGCTAAATGAGTAGGTTATTCAATAATGTTACTTCCATAAATAGTTGCAATATTTTATATTAATATTGAAGAAACTAAATTAACTTTATTTAAATTGCTATCACCAACTAAATATATTCCTCCCCCTATTTTTGCTTTATTATTCATTATAATTGTATTTTTTATTACAAAATCATTAGAATTTAATTCTATATATAATCCTCCTCCTTTTTCTTCTGCAATATTATTAATAATCTTACATGATCTAATATTTATTGGTATTTTCGAAACTCTTATTGCAACTCCTTCTCCACCAATATTTGAAATAAAATTTGAGTTTTATATTATAACTTTAGATTTAAGTTTTAATTTTGATTGAAAATTTAGACAACCAAAATTTTTAATTAAATTAAAATTACAATTCAATGAAAATAATGAAAATTTATTAAAGTCTGAAAGATCAAACTATATAATTCCATTTTAGCAAGTGCTACAATTATTCAATTAAAATTCAATAAAATGAAAATTAAATTCATTCAACTTTGATGTGCTTTACACATATAATATTGAATTTGTCTAATTTTATTATTATTATTTTAATTTATTAACATTTTCTTTTAAGTAATCATATTATTCAATTAAATCATATTAATACTTATTCAAAATACATCCCAAAATTGTATAGTTATCATTTCTTTCCTTAATAATTTAGCTTATATTTGTTTCAAATAGACTTACTTTTTAAATGCTTATTGAATTGAAGTAAATTACTGATTTCTACTATATATTTTAAATAACATATATAAGATTTAAAGAATAAAGTGTTAGAATATTATTGATTTAACAATTTCTAAAAATTAATTTTGGAGTATTTATAAATCTTATTAATGGTCCTATGTATATTCCTTCAAATATTAAGCCATTTATAAAAGTAATACAATTTTCTAAAACAATAGCAGCATTATTTGATCCAGTAATTTCTAAAATCTCATTTTAAGTTATTGTTTTTACTGATTATAAAAATTTATTAATAGAATCAAAATTTTATATAATTTTAACATTATAAAAAGATATTTAATTTAAATCTGCAATTTATTAATAAAATTAGACATTAATTACTTGGTTAAGTAAAGAAAGGCAATTTTCTATAACAATATCCTTCAATAAAAGGTGATTAGAAAAAGAGGATGGAGATATTGATAATATTGAAGATGTCATTCTATTTTATACTTCAGAAAATATTACATTAATAATAGAAAGATTTAATAAACTTGTTTGAGAATTGATATTTATACAACCTGATGTTTTTGATCTTAATAAGAGATCATTTTATGTTTAATTTATTGAAATATTGACTAATTATATTATTCCTTATCCAAAAGTAATTATATCGAAAACTGAACTTTTTGAAGCAAATATCGATTTAAATTTTGAATTAATACAATGAATATATCCAGCTGACAATTAAAATACTCCTCCTATAGTATTAATTTAAAATACTTAGGAAATAAATGAATTAACTTTATCTTAATTTTATTCAACTTCTGTAGTAATATTATAATATTCTTACCATAAATTAAGAGGCAATATATTATTATAATTTACATCAATATTCTATAATTATATTGATTAAGAAGTTATAATAATGAAGGAATTTGATGAATTAGTAAAAGCATTCTCATAGCAAATTAATCCATTAATATTAACATAACTAGATGTTGAAATAATATATATCAGACCAGCTGAATAAAGTAATGATCCTTCTGAATAAACATGCATAAAATTCTATTAAAATTTGATATTAAATATTTGAATATCTACATTTTAGTCAGATTCTATAATAATTAGTGAAAGACGAACAATTTAAAAGGATTATAATAAAAGATTTTAATAAAATTACAAATTATTAATTTTTATCTTTCTATTAATTTCATTTAAATAAGATTTACTAGATGTGATTTAAATAAGAGATTCATCTAAGCTAATTTATTTAATTATCTTAACATCTTAAATCAGAATATCAACAAAACCTAATATTTAAATTAATTAATTTATTGGATTATTCTATTCAATACAATGCAATGATAATTACACTTTAGTTTTTATATCTGATTATTCATAAAGTATATCATGGATTACAATTTAATAATTTTCAAATAGATAAAATATATGAATATTATTTGAATTAATAATTAATACATTTTGGATTAAGATTTAAAAACAATTTATATTGAACAAATAAATTGATTAATTATTACTAGATAATTTTGAATTTTATTCAAGTATTAATTCTGTCATTTCAACTATTACACTGCTAATTTGATAAGTTGAAAAAATGAGAAATAAATTTGAATTTTGAAATTAATTTAAAGTTGCTTTTAAATATTTAATTTTGCAAGGCATCTTTTATTCAAGTAATATTTGTATAGTTGAAAGAAACTAAGAATCAATAAATATATTTTGTCTAACATAAATTTAAAATAAGGACAAATTATAACTAAATCCTATTATTCTAGATTTTTACACAATATTATTTATAAATGAAAAGTTATTAATTTAAAGATCCATTTAACTAGAACAATCTAAAAAAGAAGAGTTAGTAAATTTACTATTTTAAATTGTTAAATTTTAAAAAATTAATGAAGTATCATTAAATTGATTATACATAAAATAAAAGACAGAAGAATTAAGTAATTCACATTCTTTAATTAATAAATTTTTGATAAAAATAGTAAATTTATTCTTTGCAAATTTAAACATTTATGAGTTTATTATTATAGAATTTGAAATAGTCATAGTTTCTATTGATATTTAGCCCACAAAATCCCATAAAAGTTAATTTAATAATGAAGAGTTATTAATATTAGTATTGATTATGGATATGTTTGTAAAATTAATATCACCAAAAATTAAAGAATTTATAATAGGATCAGCATTATTTATGAAACTATCTTTAATCATAAAATCTGTTAAAGATAAATCAACTTTATTGTTATTATTTAAGAATTCAAATTTACTAACTGAATTAGAATCAAAGATAAATCCTAAATTATTCATTTCTATAGAATCATAAAAGTAGATTTAAATTATGCCTTAAAATAAAAAAAATAAAGTTTCCTTTGAATATAATATTATTTTGATTTTTTATAAAGAAAATAATTGCTATTTTAAAGTATTTTTAGCTAAAATAGAAAAAGGGCGAAAGCAGAATTGTTCTTAAAAATCAAAGGTTGCTTTTAAAACAATAGAATCAATCCCCATTTAATTGAAATAATCAATATCCAAATAATAATTGTAAAGAAAATTAAAAAATCTAATAGGGTCACATATATCTATAACCCTATCAATTTAAATATAGTAATTGCATATCTAATTAATACAATATTTTGCTATTTTGGAATAAGTATTGAAATTTATAAATGGATCTATGTAAGGTTTTAAACATTACTTTGTATAAATTTCATTTTAATCATTGATTATAAATTAAGGTTATAATTACTAATTTAGATATAGAATTTATTACTTTTATATCATCATTTGATCTCTTTGTACATAACTAACAAAGTTAAGGACAATCAGAACATTATTCACCTATTTAAACTCTCATTCTCTGTTTAAAATAATTTAAGTTACATTATTCACAATAATATATAGATTGACCTTAACAAAATAAACAATTTGGGTCACATTAATTTTAGGTATGAATTATAGTATCAAAATCTTAGGATATTGGAGCAAATTATAATCTAAAACTTTCAACTCTAATTCTCCACCTTTACCTTAAATATGTTTTCTAAATCAATTCTTCATTTTCAATACATTATTAATGTTCTACAACATATCCTGGTTAACAAATTACACAAGTAATATTTGAATGATATTTTAAACATTATTAACATTTAGATATATGTATTTAACAATCATTCATTTCAGGAGAGTTAGAAAAATCTATTGAAGACAATGTACATAATTCTTAACTACTTTGATTAATAAAAGATCTTAAACAATTAGAAACATTTGGATCTTATAATAAACATTTCTCTAATGTGAAATCATATATATAATTTTCAATGCAAAGAGCACAACCTATTTTGAAATAATCTTAATTTATGTAAATCAAAGTAGATTATAATGTGTTAACAGTTGTAAAGTAACTTAAATATTCAAAACAATAAACACAGTTCTATATTGGACATAGTTTGCATTATTAAGTTAATGTAATATAATATGGAGGTATACATTCATCAAGATTTTCATCCTTTTAATAAGGACTTATAAAGACTTTTGGAGTACAGATTCCATTTACAAATTCATAACTATCTGAACATGTTGAACATTTAATTCCATATAAAGTAACATAACAACTTTTACAAAAATCAATAGGACACACATAACATTCATTTTAACTTATCATATATTCTTCAATCTAACAAAAATTAAAAAACCTTAAAAATAAATATTAAGACAAATCATAATTGCCAACTTCATCCTGAATTATATTAATTTCCCAACAATAATTACACAAATTTAAATCTATTCCATCAAAATAAAAATAAATGTTATTAGATCCCATCATTGTTTCTTCTATACTTCCAATAGATTTTAGATAAAGATCTGTATTACAATTTGGTTTAGTATACCATCCTTTAGGGTTATTATAACATTCATAACAACTGATAAAATTCTCACTTATAATTGATGGACTTTTATAATAATAAATATATACCATTTGTAACACTCTCCATTAAATTCAAAAAAACCTTATAAACAATTTAGATTTTAATCTTCATTGTGTTATTCAATAATTTTAATTTTTTATTATTAATCTGTAATACATATTTCATTCTTATCAATTGAATTATAAGGACATATACAAACTTTATATTCTTAAAGATAAATTCTTTTTGATTCCTAATAACAAGACAAACAATTAGAGCTAGATGGACCATCACATTCCTTACAACTAAAATGGCAACCTTACTTATTAATAAATTAATCACAATTATAAAACATTAAATTTCTAACATTTATATTCAAATAATTCTTATTTTACTTTTAGATATTACCATACTGTAATTTAAATTATATATTATTAAATTACATTACTTCAAAATTATCATTAATTTCAAAATTCTAACCATTTTAATAAAACTTTATTATGATCTAAAATATATTAGATTTTAATTAAATAAACAAATAATGCCAAATATTAATTATGCTTTTAGGAATAATAAATTCTTTTTAAATTAAATATGGATTATTTTAAAAATCAATATTTATAGCAGGAAATGTGTAATCATAAGTTGTAATTATTATTTTATTATTTTGCTTTGATATTTAATAAAATAATTAAAAGGATGCTAAATTACTATTTTAATAAATAGTATCATCTAAGTTAGGATTTAATTTTATAAATTAATATGTAAATTCTTAATCTATTTCTACAATTTCTAAGATTCTAAGCCATCCTAAAAGAATAAATGAATCACAATTAATCTACTCTGATATATAAATATTTTAATCTAAATAATTCAAATCCATATCTTATATTTTTAACTATTCTTCATTTATTTAGCAAATACAATTATTAATTGTTTAAAAAGCATCATTTATAAAATTACTTATATCACTATTAGGTGAAAGATCTTCTATTGTAAAATCTTATATTATAATAGAACCAGGAAATGATGAAAATATTGTTCCTAATTCAATATCTAGAATCTTAGATTTTATTACTTTATAACTACCTCCAAAAGTCAAAATCACATTATTTACTTAAAATGGATATTTAATCTATAATTATTATCTGAATATTATATTTTAATTTTTTGCCAATATCAAATCTAGTTTATTTATATATGGCCATTGGTAAATAGATAACAAATACCAAATATTTTCATAATCAAATTCATCTATGCTTATATCAAATTTATTTTGCATATTATCATTGCTAATAAATCTTATCGTTTTAATTATAGATTTCTAACCATAATCTAAACAATCATAATAAATCAGATTTAGACTTTGTTACTCAAAATCTATTGCATTATGTAACTAATAACAATTACTATCTAATAATCCATATAGTCCATTCTATGCTATAATACTTAAGGGATTATATTTTGACCAAATACCATAAGTGAAGCAATTTGAAATTGAGTAGTTTTCTTCATTTATTAAAATGTTTTTCCTTTATATCTAATTCTTATTATTCAATCTAGTTAATACTAAAACTTAATAAGTAAAAATAGGCAATATAATAAATAATATCATATTTATATATATATTAATTGTTATTAATCCATTTTTATAGATTTAAACATGTATTCAATATTAAATCAATTTATCAAATTTTAATTAAATTATCATTCAAATAAATAATATATTCAATATTGTATGTAAGAATATTCTTTTATAAGAGAAATAAGAAATTAAAATAATTGAAAGATACTTAATAAACTAAAGATTTATAAAATATAATAAATAAATTATATCTGAGATAATCAATAATAATCAATTCATTCAATTATGAAAGATTTAAGTTACATTAAAATAATAGTTAAAATAGTTTATGTTTAACTAAAAAATGTAAAACTCAAATTATGTTTGATAATAAAATTTAGGAAATATTATTATTATTAGATTAATATATTTTTATATAAATTATAATTAACATTTAAATCTTATGATATTATACACTTTTTAATTTCTTTTTAATATTTAAGAATTCTCTAATATTGAATATTATAATCACATATTATTTAAACTAATATTAATAATAGAATTAATAAGTAATTTACTTGATAAAAATAAAAATAAATAAAAAATTCACACTAATTTAAGGGAAGTATTGATTCCTTTGAATGCATAATTTTTATCAATTTTTCTATCATTTTTTTCATTAGCTCTTGAAATAATTTTAGATACTAACACTTTATTATTTGGCATTAATGTATTGTTATTTAAATTAGATGGTCCAAATGATTTGATGATATCTAATTCTGGTTTCTATTCTTCAGCATCTGATTAATTATCAATTAACATCATTTAATAAGAGTTTTCAATGTCATCTCGTTCAATCATTTAAGAATGACCTTCTTCATAGATTTCTTCAGTTTTAATTTCAAAAGGTTAAACATATTCTTAATCCTTTTTAGGAGTCTTATTAAAAGATGGAGCCATTTTAGGTAATTTAGGTTAAGTAAATTATTCTTTATTTTCAAAACTAATATAAACACTATGATTAGATTCAATTTTATTTTTTTATTCTTGTAAATTTTTCTTAATCAAACATGTTTTAAGTGAATGAACAGTCATTAGATGTGTAATGTTAATTGGTTCATTAAGTGTAACTTTTAAAACTTCAATAGGTGTTTTTTATATACATTCAGTTCTGTCTATAAATAATTATAGATTCTTATTATAACTAGTCATAATTTCATTAAAAGGTTCATTTTACATTTATCTAAGAATTCCATCTAGATTAGATTCTACATCAGTTTTCATACTAATAGTTTCAGATCTTGATAATTATAAACAATTAATAGAATCATCATATTGTTTAGAGAGAGTTTTAAAATTAGTGAATAATTATTAAAGTAATCGCATTTTCTCATCTTCTAAACATTAACTAATTTAAATATGAAATCTTTCAACTTTATCTCTTTATTAATCATAATACTTTTGAATATCTTCTCTTTTAGCAATTAGAGCATTCATAAGTTTATCAATTTAAGGTATTGAATTATTGACTGATGTTATAAATTTTAGTATTTAATCTCTTCTATATTCTTCTTCTAGACCTGGAATTTCTTCAACTTTCATTCCTTTACCAACCATATTAACAGCACATTTGGAACACAATTAAAGAGAAGTTTCTTTTACAACATGATATTTGGCTTTTTTGTTTTAATGATTAACACATTAATTCAATTTACGAGGTTTCTCATTATTTTAATCATTCAATTTAATTTTTGATGGAGTAAGCCTTTATCTGATATTTGACATTGATGTAAATTTGAATTTAAATTATTTTAAAACAAGTAATAAAATATTCAATATTCATTAAATTTCTCATAGAGTACTCTTTCATATTCTTTACTAATAAGAGGGTCAGGACAGAATCTACTTTTAGTTTGGTCTGCTTTTTTGAGATTATATCTAATATTAATATTCATAATATATGGTACCTGTATTTATATGAGTATGTCAGTATGCCTTAATTAGCAAGAGGTTGAAACTCAGTGGATTAAATTTATTTCTCTAATTGTTATCTATGAATAACAGCATATTTATCAATATTCATTGTTATTAAAAATATTGCTATTTTATATTGGACATCAGAAGAATTTTACATAATAAAATTATAGTAATAACCTTAATAAATACAAGAATCTGATTATCTCTACACTATTCTAAAATCATTCTCAACAAGAACCATTAATATAGATTAAAATGTTGAATCAAATTCATAGTAGTTTAAATTTTCCCATTCATTTAATCATCAGATTAACTTTATTCTTCTTTTTATTACACAAGATTTGGTCATCTAACTAGAGCTGCTTTGGAAGAATGTATAACAGATTATCATTTATGTGATGATGTTACTCAAATATATATGAGAAATATCACTTTAAATAATCATTGAATTGAAGATCATTGCATTATTTTTCAATCTTATAAAATTAATTTAATTCAGAAACCAAATATAATTTGTTTACTATCTAATTATGAAAATTTTTTAGATACTTTAGAATTGAGAATCAATTAGAATACTATAAATTTTTACTTGTTAGCTCAGTATTTAGAAAGCAACCCTTTGTTTGAAAAGGTAATATGCTCTGCATAGCCATCCCATTCATAATATTTTGTTAAAAGCAAATAAAAAGGATTTGGAATCATGATAAGTTTTTATGTTGAGGTAAGCTTTGAGGAAATTAGTAAATAATGGAAAGCCTTGAAAATATTTACATTTGCTGAATCATTAGGAAGAGTTAAAAGTATAATCAATAAATTATTATATCTTAATCAAATATTTAATTATTCAATTACTTATATAGGTTTAATTGAAGTATATTAAATTGAATAGAAATTATGAATTAAATAAATTACTTGTTAATGTAATCAATTAATTGTAAATCATAGACAATTTGGTTAGAGTTTCAATTGGTATAGAGAATGTTAAGGATTTAATACATTTAAAGTGATTATATTTATATTAAGTAATTTATATATAAATAAATCTTTAATTATAATATACAAATTAATCAATCTATTATTAATAATTTACCCAAATTACTTACTTTTAATTCTTGAAGTATTTCCATTAATTATTAATTGATATTAGTTTCTATTTATTAAAATGTATGTAATTAATAGGAATTCATATTTAATTATTGTCCATTCTAATGAATTATAAATAATTAATTATCAATAGTAATTTATTATAATAAAGATCCTTTAAATTTGAGACTTTATAATTATTAACAATTTCCAATTTGATGATCAATAGGCTAATCAAAATCAATAGAATATTTAATCACATTATCTATATCAGAAGATTGTCTGCCACCAAAAGTGATAAAATCCAATTTATTCTAATTAGATTTACAAATAAATGTGCAAGCCTCAATTGGATTATGTAATGTAATTCCAAACATTTCCCAACATTTCAAATCAGGATTGTAGATCTCAATTGTATTGATTCTAGTTTTGAAAGTATTAAATCCTCCTGCAACTAATACTTTACCATTATGTTAGATCATAAAAGAACTACATCTCTTTTCATTTAATTTTGGTAACACTTCCCATTAATTAATATTTATGTTATATCTTTCACATGAATCCAAAATTCCTTAATCATCATTACCATAATATCTTCCTCCAGCAACATATATATAATTATCTACTAATTAATAACTAAAAGCATATCTTGCTTAATTCATTTTAGCTAATTTAGTAAATTGACCAAAATTAGATTCCAATTTAATAATTTCATTACTTATTTAATTCATCTAGTTATTAACTCCTCCCATAATGATTAAACTTCCATCATTTAATAATAATGCTCCTGAATATAAATTTATTTTATTTGATAATATTGAAGTTGATTAAATATATTCTTTAAATTTTTATTATTTTGATTAATTCTGATCTTTAAAATAAACTTTATTAATCCTATAAATAACATCTTCTTATATTATTACAATATAAGTAATGATCTATTTTTAAATTACTCCTAATTCAAAAGTATAATCAGCTATACTAAATTCTTTTAGACATTCATTTGATATAGAATTAAACAATTTATTTTTATAAGTTTTTAGTTCTAAATTAGAAATCTCTCCTCTTTCTATAGATAAAGTGTCACTACCAAAAAATTAAATTGAATAATTCTCTATCTAAATTCCTTTTTATAATACTCTTGGTTTTTAATTATTAGTCTTACCTATATATGTTATCTATTTTGTAAAATCAATAACTTAATGTCTATCAATTATACCTTCAGCTGATTATCCACCTAAAATAAATAATTCTTTCTTCTCATTTTAATATAATACTCCTTATTCTATTCCATAATGTAATTTTAAATTCAATAATACCCATTTTTAATTCTCAAATTTTTCAATTTTCTTTGATCTTTTTCTTACATCTGTATATCCACCAAATGCATATATTTTTTATTCATATAATATAGCAAAGAATGTTGCACGACGACAATTCATAGGAGCAATCATTTCCCATTTGCCTTTCTAAAAATCATAACATTCACAACTATTTAAAATACCTTCACTTCCTTAACCATATGAACGTCCCTAATTTATTAACAATATATTCTATACTCCCATAGCATATAATTTTTAATCATATTTATTATATATTAGTTAATGTGTATATCTTGGAATATTCATAGATGGTAGGTTCCTAAAAATATTCTCATCCACATTGTATCGATAAACATTATTACTAACTTCTTAATAATTCTCATTAATTCCACCACTTAAATAGACTGTACTTTCATTTATCTACACACATGCCATATTTTTTAAAACTATCTAATCATTAAATACAATCTAATACATTTGGAGTCTCATTTCTTGTGAATTCATCTTTTAATGTGTTGTAAATCAATAATATATTAGGAAAACCAAAAAAATAACATAGTTTTTCTGGAATTGTTTTTTATGTTGATTATTCTATTCCCATTCTTTATTTATTTATATTTTAGAATATTTAAATATGTATTAAATAATATGATTATTATATTTTGTTTCTTTACATTAGCTTTATCTGATTGTTCTAATAATCCCTTCACACCCTAATATTTAAATCTACTACATAATCTCGAAATAGATGTAAAATAATACAATACTTATATATTGTCTACACCTAAAGATTAAGTACTTAAATTCTCAATTATAATTAGACACTAACCATATGTTCAAAAATGAATTCTTATTCTTGTTGTACAACTGAAACTGAGACATTCTTTTAATCTATTATTTCTAAATATCAATCTAAATTGTTAGATAATAATAGTGAATTATAAAACTTATTGAAGTCATTTGAATCAGATATTAAAATATGTGGATTATTAAATAATACTTCATTTGAAAATTCTTTTATTGGATCAGATAGTATAGATAATTATAAATTGTAATTATAATAATTAGCTAAACTATAAGCTGGATTTTTGTAAGGAAATCTATGTATATTGTGTGCAGCATCAAATGATACAAAATTTATATAGAACAATAAAATAATTGCATTAAAATCTAATTATGACACTTATATAAATAACCTTATTAATTAATATGACTCTTTGTAAAGTCAGATTATCAATTTTAAATAGTTTGTTTTGGATTATTATTTAAATTATACAGATACATTAAATTGTAGTAGTGTTTTGGAAGAATTCCTATAATCTTGGTAAAATGTAGTGGTGTGTCCAGGAAATAATTGTGAATCATATATAAAAAATACAATTTAACCATTAGGTTTTAGACAATTATTGGCTGATGATTATTATATATTCAGTGAAACAGATGGAATAGATGTATATATAGAAGTAACTGGAGAAGTAATAGCATTAAAGAATTTAATAGTTATTTTGACTATAACATTTATACTATTATTATGATAAAATTTGTTTATATTGATTATTAATATATATATATATATTTTAAATATAATTAATATATGGATCAGAGTATGTTTGAGTTATTTGGAGGTGATGGACAGATATCAGATTTGATAGATCAATTTTATTATAAGGTGTTATTCGATCAAAGTTTGAGAAGCATGTTTTTAAAAGCAGACATGACTAGAGTTAGATTATAATAAAAGACTTTTTTTGCTTAAATGTTTGGTTGTATTCATACTAAATACACTGGAAAGTATTATTACTAATGAATATAAAGAGATCTAATTGAAGTGCATAAGAATTTGAGTATAACTGATCAACAATTCGATAGATTCTTACATCATCTTAAATGTATATTAGCTGACATGAATAAATCTTAAGAATTGATTGATTAAATATTGAAGAAAGTAGACAGTCATAGACATTTTATTGTGTTTAAATGATATATATTCATTATTTTTTTCTTCTATTATCAATGTCTTTAAAATTCTATTCTTCCAATTGCAATTTTGCTCTATGATAAAGATATTAATTATAAATACTTTTATGCATCTTCCATCTTTTAATTCCTCATCAGAATGAGATCATTTCTTTTAGTAGTATCAGATTCTAATATTTCCTATGGTGAAATCCACTTCTTCTTTTCTTCATCTATCTACCAAACGTTTTCTTCTCCAAATAGTAATCCTTCCAACCATGATCCTATTCCTTATTAAATAAGAGTCCTACATAAATAGTATTCACAATTACTCTGTTTTATTTCCATTTTCATCTATTTTTACTTCAAAAATATCCACTTCTACAATATCAAAGATCTTAGCCTATTCTTATGACTTAAAGAATGAAGTTATCTTAGACATCATTCCTTCAGCATTATAATTAAAAGAAATAACTGATTTCACACCAGGTCCTTCCACAATCATCTTCCCTTACCAATTCAAGATTCGGTCTCCCATCATCAATCCAGTTATTTCCCTTTTTATATATCTATATACATTATTACATTGTTGGTCTCTATATACATTTATAGACAGCACCATTGTTAAATACTATTGTTTATCTACCAGACTAAACTCCTGTTAATGAATTGACTGTCTTATGAATTTATATTTCTAATCTGTCATCACCATATATTTTATAATTATTTCCTAATATGTAATAATATGAAATTGGTGGATCAAAAGAAGTTTATTCTCCGAAGAATTACGTTCCATCCTCTTTAACTAACTATAAATTTTTGATATTATATTATTACTTAAAGAGTCTCTCCTATTAATGGATCTAAAGGAGATTTCATTTTTGTTATCTCACCATTACAATGTAATCCAGATATCTATTATATCATATATATATATATACTTAATAAGCTGATATATATTTAATCTATTCAATTGGTGATAAGTGACTACATCTTTCCAATAAATTACTAAATGAATGTCCTCTTATATTTATAATTATGTTATTTTACATAGCCACTCCATGTAAGAAACTCATATCTAAAGATATAGCAATAGGTTTGCTAATTTACATTAAAGATCCAAAATTTCCTGTCATAATCTTTCCACTTATTTATTTAAACAAACTTGCTGCCACTTTTTATGTTTCAGAATTGTCTTCTCCAAATGATAAATTTAGACCTCCTAATATTATAATATATCATGTACTAACCTTGTTGATGAGCTGCCTTATGTCTATGAACTGGAAATTGTTAGACTTATTAACCATTTTGATTGTCATTCTATTTTTTAAATCCAAACCACATTAATTTAAAAAGTAAGATTTGTTATTAATAATATTATTTAACGATATTTATTAATAAAATTTATAAATACCCCTATATATAATTATATTAATTAAAATATGTAATAAAATATATATTAATATATTTCATGCATAAAAATTCTAAGTATTCCCTCTTAATTATCTTAATTGATTTTTTTTTTAATCCATATATTATTTAATTTCTAATTTTAATTCTTTCTATTCTATTAGCATTTCTGCTACCAAAAATGATCTATCAAAAGGATCTTCTTATTTTTTTATTAGATATCGTTTAATTGTTACTCTATCAACAATTTACTAAATTTAATCAATTAAATTATAATACTTTAGAATTTGGTAACATTACTGGATCAGTCATTAAATTACGAGTAAGTGAATCAAGGTATCTATCTTCAAGATTAGGATCCTTTGATAGATCATTCATTATTTAATTAAATTCATTTCTTAGTTATTATAAGTTATTTATAATTTAACTGAATTTATAGAGTAAATCATTTGAAATAGTGTATTAATTACTCATATTATTTACCAATTGATATAGGGATTAAATTTATAATTATCTAGAAATAGATATATTAAATATATTACTAATTGTTCATAATGATTTCATCCCAAAATAAAGGTTAATCTTATAGATTTACATAAATTTCAATTATATTTTTAGATATATCTTATGGATTCATTTATAATTAAACTAGAAATTTAGCCTTCAAAAAACTATTTCCTTCACCATTAAGTTACTACAAAACATTATTAAGGTTTTAAGCAAATTATTGTCTTGTCTCTTCTATAAGAAATGCTTTTGGTTCAATTTTAGTAAATAATATAATATTGTTAAATAACTCTATTGCACCTTCCCAATCAACTATACATCTATGTATTTCAATCAACCTTAAAATCTCTTTTAAAGCCTTTTCCTAAGTATTTAATAAGGAATATTAATTAGCTAAGGTCTCTTCCTCTAATTTAATTTTTTTAGTAGCTTGAACACATTGATCAACCATTTCCTTTATGTCATTTATATAGACAAAAGCAAAATTTTAATATGTGGTTGAATTCATATTTACAAACTCTAAAAATTTGTTCTCATATATATTGCGGTGATTGGTTAAGGCATATTTAAATAATTGACAGATGGCCTTCTTAAATCTAATTGCAGGCAAGATACTACTCATTTTAATTCTATCACGATCTATATATGATTAAATAAGTCCTTATATAAGAAAATTTTGAATGATTTTATTTTCTGAAAAAATTTTAAAAGACATCAATGCATTTTTGCTATCGTATAAAATCATGTATTCATTAAAAATATAAAATAATTCTATTCCTTTGCATCTTAAATGTATATCTTCAATTAAATCTTAATATTTCATAGTAATAATAGTAAATTCAACAATAGAAATAACTTCATCTAAGTAATCTAATGCAACTCCATTAGAATTATAGATAAAACAATAATTTGGAACATCTTGCATAAATTGATTATATAATAATCCATAAGGATATTTAGGTTTATAATTCTCATCAAGTAAACTTAAAGCCAATTTACTTTGAAAAGATAAAAATTGAATTGTATTTTAAATACTTTTAGGATGAAGGAATAGTGTATCAAATGTAGCTTTTTCGATTTCACTCAACTAAGTTATTCTTGAATAAGGACCAAAAAATTATTTATCTATCTAATAATGAACATATGAGTGAGCATAATTATTTATAATACGTTATGAGAGTCCTCCAATTCTTTAAATTAATAAGTATAGAACTGTCATGGGATCAAGAACAGGACTTTTATCTTATGGTATAAATACTGTTTTTAAGGGTGCCATTAAACCAGCATTTGAATAGATTTTAGAAAAAAGTGGATGAGTCTTAACAGAAGCTAATAGATCTAGATTAATTTTGCTTAATCTAGCATTTGCTTATTCAGTATTGTAAATAAAGGGATTGAATATTTCCAATAAAATTTATTATAAATTAAACATCATACCTTAAAAGCAACATTTATTAATATTTTATGTTTAATTCAGTTTCTCAAGATTAAGATTAATTTCAATTAATTTAATTATATAAGTAAACAGTTATAATTAAGCTTCTTTACCCCTTCTAATAATTCTTAGAAAGATATCAGCCATTTTATTTATAATTTCATATATTGGTCCTCTATAAGTTTCTTGAAGAATAAGTAAACTTTTTTCTTGATTACCAAAAACCAGTTTCACATGAGGAAAATCTCCTGGGAATGTACTCAAACTTATAATTGAACCAAATATTGAATATTATTATATATCTCTACCAAATTTATATATTTAAAATTTTCCATAAGCCCAACTATTTTAAAATAAAAGATCTGTTAATTTTGGATATAATGATAATTTATCTAATAATAATGAAGCTTTTAATTAATAAACACAATCTAATAAATCTACTTTTTAACATCTTAAGAGTTCTCTTTTTGTAATTAAATCTAAAAATCTAAAAGCATCTTCAGGTTAACATTTTGTATCAAGATAAGTTAATAAATAATTTAATGCTGGATGCTCTAAATTCTCAAAACTTATTTCATAATTAGTTTTAATCATTTATCCAAATAACATATCATATACTTATGTAGCAATTTAATTTTCAAGACCATTATATTTATTAATTTCTTCTCTGTCTGCTTACCATTATAATTTTTATGGTTTAGCTACAGCACATACAATTTTATCAATAATAGCATCAATCAATATGATTAGAATTTCTTTTGAAATTACTCCATCTTCAAATATAGCATAAGTAGATTTAATATCACAATTTGATAAATTAACTAATACTTAAATTAACCAAGTCACTGTTTAAGATTAAAGAAGTTGTTTATTATTTATCATTATGGGAATTATTTAATCTAAAATTATTTCAAGAGTAAAAGTGTTAACTTATTTTACCATTTAAGCGTATAATTTTCCAATTTTTAACTCATTTACATCAATCATAAAACATCTCTTAAATATAGATTCTTCATTAAAGGGGGTAATGATTTCATTTTCCTGTTGAACATTCGAATTGATATTTTTATTATTTTATTATATTTATTATTAGGGAACACTTTATTGAATTTCTTAAATTTATTTTTTTTATTATGATTGTTAATTTGTATTATTTAATAATATCACTTATGATAAATTTTATTATTATTAATTTTATTAATTTATATTATTATTTACTCTAAAGACATCTATTTGTTATTAATTTTAGAAAACTTATTTATTATTATTCATTTCTGCTACTCCTCGATAATTTTAAATGTTCTTATCTATATTTGTTTGCTTTGGCAGAATTTTTATATTTATTTCTTAAAGTGAATATCCCAATTTTTTTGAAGAATGAGAGATAATTGATAAAGACTAAGGATTATTTATTGTTAATCTTGAATTTTAAATCTATTAATTTCTTCCTTTTACTTATACTTATTGTTATGATTTGTTTTCATCATTAATAATAATATACATTTGATTTTCTACTAGACTCTCCTATTATTTCCTTTCTTCTTCAATCTTTTTTTTAGATCTAAATATTTAACAGCCCATTATTATAAGATTTTTGATATTTATTTATTAAATTTTATTTTCATGATTGTGTTTTAAAGATTTCCTTAAAAAATCTATCTGTATTAGAGTAAGGATATCATGATTTATTAATATTAAAATTATAATTATTGAAGAACCATTACTAATTATAGTAATCAAATAAAAATACAAAGACTTTGATACAATATTTTATATTACATTTATTCAATTTGTAATTCTGGTTATAGTTATAATTATAATGGCATAATTATCAATGTAAAATGGAAGAGAATATCTTAATTTAAATAATAAATATCATATTATAAAGATATATTATATTTTTTTATAATCTTCAAAAATCAATAATTATTTAGGTATAAGAATTAAAGAATATTTTATTATTATATATTTTAAAAAAACTTAAATGGAATTGTAAGATCAATAAAAGAAGCAAAAAAGATGGAGTAAAGAAATCTAATTATTAAACCATTATGGTAAAATATATATTCTAATTTTAAGGATTAAAATCTGCTATACATTATTATTTAGTTGATTTTGATGTGAAATATTAAGGAAAGACTTATTATATTCATACTTTTAGTGGAGGTCAAAATAATAAAGTATATATCATATTATTAATTATAAAGGAAATATTAATCCTACTTCATGGTTATGGTGGATCCAATCTTCATTATTCTAAAGCATATGGAAAACTAATAGAATAATTCAAAGTATATTCAATAGATCTACCTGGAATGGGATATTCAAGCAAATAAGATATAAAAATGGATTCTTTTGAAGAAGCAATGGAATTTTTTATGGGAACTATTTCTCAATTGATAATGGGATTATGTCCAAATTAATAAGTGACTTTGATTGGTCATTCTTTTGGTGGTTTTATAGCTGCTCATCTTCTTGTAAGATTCCCAAAATTATTCAAAAGATTAATATTATTAAGTCCAGCAGGAACTACTTATTACACAAAAGAATAAATTATGTAAATATATTCATTAATGATAGTCAAAATTAAAATTTCTCTTAAGCATCTTTTCTGAGAAGAAAATTTATTGAATATGTGAAAGGTTTATGGGAAGAAGTAATTGCAATTCCATAATATTTAAATAATCATTTTTTAGGAAAATAATTGATAAAAGTATATTTAAGAAAAAGAATGCATTTAAATGGAAATGAATATGATCTCTGGAAATCATACATTGATGAAATGTTAGAATTACCTGAAGGATCAGAAAAATCATTATGTTTATTTTTTCATTTTCCAATATATGCTAAAGATCATAATTCGATTGAAAGTATTTTATCAGAGAATATGAATTAAATTAAAAATATTCCAATTTCTTTTTACTTTGGAGATTAAGATTGGATGGATCATTAAGGAGCTATTAATTTGAACTTCTATTAAAATATTAACCTTAGAATCATAAATGATGCTGGACATCAATTAAATTTTGAAAATCCTCAAGGTGTAGTTTAAGCAATTATATAAGATATGTAATAATAATGAAATTTGCTGTCTTTTATATATTTATTGATTAGATATATTAATAAAATTATTAAATTTTACAGAAATGTGGGACCCTAATGCATCTATTTAAGAAAAACAAAAAATGGAATAATATATGAAGGAGAAGATTCTTGAAACATTCAATCTATTTGCTACTGATAAAAAGGGTTATGTTGATAAAAAGTAATTGATGACTTATAATAATAAAGAGAAATTCCATATATCATGAGATACTTGGGTAAATTCCCTAGTGAAGCTTAAGTGAGCAAAACCATTCTTCCATAAATTGAAGAGGATGAACCTAGTGAGTCAATCAAATATTAAAAATTTGAACCATTCATGATTCAAGGTATTATTGCATATTACATTATAATAAGTACTAAAGAGCAATGAATATGATCCAGATGACACAGATACTCTATTAGCAGCATTTAGATAATTAGATGAAGAAAAGAAAGGATATATTGAAATCGATACATTAAAGTAGAGACTGACTACTATGGGGTAAAGATTATATTGATTGATTAATTAAGAATTTAGTTTAGACCTTTAGAAATTGAAGACTTTATCAGATTTGCTACAAATGGAGATCCAAAGTATAAATTATTTATGAATATTCATAGTGCAACTGTTATTTATTATGAAGATTATATTTTGAGATTACAATTCTTTATTGAGAAACACATGGAATCAGTAACGAAATAATACAATCCTGAAAAATGATTCATTATATTTTATGAAATCATTAATATGCTTATTAATAATATTCTATTAATAAAATACTCAAATTTTACAGATCTATATTCATAATAACAAATATTACATAAAATATTTTTGAATTGATATAGAATTATCTAATAATTTTATTCATAAATTACAGTGTGCTATTATAATTTTGTTAATTCTAATAATACATTATATAATTAAAAAGTGAGTAGATATAGGAGAATTTTGATAAAAAATAACAATTTTCTGTTAGAAATGAGTAATAAAAAATAATCAAGAGAGCTTTCATTATTATTATTAACCCTCTATGATATTGTAAGATTACAGAAGATACTCAATTAAACTTTTCAAAGAAAATAAGTTGAATAGTAATTTGAATGTTTTTCATCATATTAAATTTTTTAAATATAACATTTAAATATTAGATTTCTGTTTATTTTAATAAAGGGTTAAAGAGATTTCACTAATTGTCCTATGATTATTAATAAAAAAAATTCTAAAAAATTTTTAAATATTATAATCATGAACTAAAAATTAACTTATCTGTTTATTATTTAAGAATAAAAATTAGTTTCTGATATTCCTTTAAAATATACCTGATATAAATTTTAATTTTATTCAATCAAATTTAGCCTATTTTCTCCCTCTAAGGAATTATAAATAGTACTCTAAATTTTAAATAATTGAGATTGCAATTGTATATAATAATCTAAAGTTATCTTATTAATAAAGAATAAAAATAACATTTGAAACAGACTTAATTTAAAGAATAGAATTAACATAAGCTTGGATCATTTCAAAATTGATAATTTATTAATAAAAAATAAATTCTATAAAAAAGTAATATAATTTATACAATTTTGAAAATCAAACATAATAAAACAATATAGTAAATATAAATAATAATTTCATTAATTAATCATTAATATTTTTAGTAGCTTAAATGATATAGTGATTCAAATAATAAATTAATACAAAACTAATTATTTTGCATTCTTACTGAAATCTATATAATCTTTTAGTATTTAATAATAACACCCACTTAAAAGTATATTAAATAATATTTATACCTTAAAGTATTTAATTATGAAATCAATAATCCAAAATAAATAACATAAAAAATTTAATATTAATAACAATATAAATTATAATAAAAATAACTAGTAATTAAAATCTGCTCGTAAATTTTTAAATAAAATATATTGTCATAATGGATCAAGTTAGTTATAATGAAGAGTTCTATTATTCTTAATCAAATGAGTTATTATCATTTTTCTCGAAAGAAAAAACTCTTATTAATTTTTTGCTGGTTCTTTTTCTAAATAAAGGATTGTTGTTTATTTGAAGTTCATCATTGTTGTCATCTATATCATCATCATCTTCGAATTCTTTTTTCTCTAATACTATTTCTTTATCAAAAGAGTTATCACTTTATAAGATTATACTAAATTATGTAATTGAATACTTGTTCTTCTGTTAAAATTTCATAAGTGGATCTGTTTTCATCTATAGTCCAAGTGATTTTAAGTACTTAACAATTTCTCTTTCTTTTTTTAAGAGGACTTTTTGATGAGAATCTTTACAATGATAAAGAGATAAGAATTCTTCAATGCTATCTTTTGAATTAATGGAAATGCAAGAGTACATAAAAATTATTAGATATATTATTAAATAATTTCTAAGTTTAGTAAGGAAATAAATAGTGTTATTAGTTTAGAATTTATTAAAATAATTTTAATTAAAATTAATAATTCATTATTAATCAATCAGATACTATCTTTTATGGAACCACAAACAAGCAAAGTTTAGAGTGGAATATAATATTATAAAAGAACTAAATGTAATGACTCCTATGTATAAATTAGAAGAGGAGGTCAAACTCATTAAAATAGTAGATAGATAAAATGTCAAACAGTAAACCCAATTGCAAAATTAGAGTACATTTTTATTATGTTGATATTGTGATGCAGAGATGGCAAATGTTAAAACTTATGAGGATGAGATTATTAATCCAGACATGAAATCAAATATGTAAATTAATGTGTTATTTTTATGAGTTGTTTCACCAATAATCCTTATTTAATATTATAAATTTACTGAAATTATGTAAGTAAAAATGGCAAAAATCTATAGTATAATTAGTATATTAACGTATCCATAAATATCAGATATCAATCCTACAGTAATACCACCTAAGAATTGTCCAATTCCATGGAGTGTTAAACCAGCAATAAGTTATTGATTTAATTAAATATTATAATGAGGTACAATCATATTTTATGAGTAAACAACATTAAAGGCTGAAAATATTCCTAAAGAAATAATAGTAGGGATTATATAAATAAAAAGTGGATCCTTTTTTTATATGCTCCAAATTTAAATGAATTAATTTGAATAAGATGGATCATCATTTCTTTATTGTAAATTCTATTCTTCTTCTGAACCATAAATATGTTGATTCATCATTTGATGTAAATCAATACTTTAAGTAGATGTTGATTTATATTCAAATTTAGGTTCTTAGATAAAAAGATATAAAATTGATATGATCAATGATATAAATAACATTGGATAATAGAAATATTCGTTATATTCATACATTGAATTTGCAAAAGTAATATAAATATCTCCAATGAAATTCTACATGCTGAATAAAGAGTAGGCAATTCCAAAATATATTCCAATATTTTTAGAATTGGAAATGCTACGAACATAATAATTGTAAGCACAATAAAATATAGCTAAAAAAGGAGCTGCTATAGCTTCAAAGATCAAAATAGTTATGATCAAATAAATCTTTTTAGGTTGTTACTCAATAACAATTATATATAGTGTTGTACTGATAACATTAACAAAACTTGTTATGCAAAATACTGCTCTATTTCAAATAAAGATATAATACTTATAGGTGAATTTTTGGATAATTCTTTGAAATAAAGGTAATGAAAATGGTCCAAATAGAAAAATTAGTGTAAATATTCCAAGTGAGACAGAATTGATTACTTAGTCATCTATCTTCAAGATTGTTGAAAATATGACTGTTCTACATAATCCTATAGCTCCTGAATAGGAAACTGTTATGATGCACACATATATAAGATTTCCAATATTTGTCTATTCTGTCATTATATTTAATATAATAAATGCATATAATTCAAAATTATATATAAAATTCATGAGAATATGTTGCTTTTAATTTGATAAATAAAGAATTTCAAGATGACTAAACTTATAATGGAATTCATTATATTAAATATAAAAATTTATGTACTTAACAAAACAATTATATTTATTCAACTTTTTATTTATGTTCGAAAAAATTACTTAAAAGAATTATGAAAATATTATTATTATTGTATATTTCACATTCATGATTTAGATTAGAAAGTAATACAATTTAAAGGAAATTTAGTATATCAAATAATATGTATATTTAATTAATTAATTAATAATAATTATATGGCATCTGCTTTTCCAAAATTGCCAGGTTTTGTACCCACTTAAGAGATTGATGTAATTTAATAGAGTTGAATTAGAAACCAAACTTTAGAAAAGTCTCTTCTACAAAATAAGAATAGAATAGAGATGTGAATCATCTTCCAAATAAGGAATATGCAGTACCTCGTAAATAACCAATTCAAATACCTCCTCAAACAGGGATGTTCAATCCTGATTATATGAGTACAACTCATGCAATGCATCTACCGAAAGTATAAAAAACAGTTACAATCTTAGAATGCAAACAATGATTCTGAAGAATTATATTAACCATCTTGGGTTAAAATGGATAGACATGTTCTAAGATTTAGTGGATATTTCAAAGAAGCTGTTGTTGAATCTGCACTTGAAAATTATAGGATACGCAAAATCACAATCTGTTATTATCTTGAAGATCATTCATTAAGTATAACAGAACCAAAATAAGAGAATAGTGGAGTTCCTTAAGGTGCATTCTTAAAAAGATAGAAAGTATTATATTTCAATTATTGATAGGTTTTACGTGCTAATGATTCCAAAACCTTTATTTTACCTCAAGATTTCAGAATTAATCAAGACATCATAATATATGGAAAGACTATCCGTCTTTATGATTGTGATCAATATACAAGAGAGTTTTATGAGGTATTGTTATATTTTTAACTTCTATATAGTTATAAGGAATACCTTAAGAGTCTTCGTTTGTACCATAATCTGACTCATTTGAAACAAAGACAATGACTAAATTTATTCCTTAAAAGGATACTGTAATGAAAGATTATTTAGAACATAAATTAGGGGGTGGAAAAGTAACATCCTAAAAACAATTTTTAGAGAATGATAGAAAGGTTTTCTATTTAATTATGTAATATTTTAGGTTCTTAAATTCTATGTATTCTCAGATATTGAATATATTCTTCATTACTATTTAGCAGATGATACTATAGAAATCAAAGAAATTAATTCAGCAAATTCAGGAAGAGTACCATTCCCTATGATGTTGAGAAGATAAAAGTTACCTAGAAAATTCTCACTCAATCAACCAGGATAAACATATGCTGAAGATTTCATAAGACCATAAGATATTTAATTTGGATAACCTCTAATTATTTATAATCGCAAATTTCTAATTAATGGTTGTGATTAATTTACTAGATAATATTATTTTGAGAAATTTAATGTAGATTTTCCATTAGGAGGTTAGGAAGAATATGTATAATAAGAAAGATCAAGTAATAATAATTTAAATATATTTATTTAGATATTATTATACCTCCTCATAATGGTATTGGAGATGAGTAGGATTCACTTGGATATATTTATAGATTATAACCTATACCACCAAAGAAGGATTTTTTTAAATGGGTTGATAATTAAGTCAATCTTAGATTTTTAGCCATGTTTAATACAACAAAACCAGAAGATAAAGATAGAGTATTTGTAATTACTTTCTTTTTGAATGATGATAGTCTTTTGGTTTATGAACCAACAGTAAGAAATTCTGGTATTTTATATTTTTCTTATTATTTTTTAGGTATACCTGATGGTAAGTTTTTAGAAAAGAGAAAGTATAAAAATATTAATAATAATAATGAATTTTTCAAACCAAATGATCTTATAGTTGGGAATGAGGTTATTATAAATGGTTGGAAATTTTAATTGCTTGATTGCGATGAGTTTACAAAGAAATGGTATGCTTAAAACTTCAAATGAGATTTATAAAATAAATAATTTCACATATAATTAATGTTTAGCAGTTAAACTCCGAATGGATTTATTCCAAATGCTCAATCTAGATATGTGATATCTCCAAGAATAGGATAATCTATGTAAGTTAATCAGAATTTACAATATAATCATTAACTACTAGAATAAGAGAATACTAATTCAAATTCATCAGAACATTTGCACCATTTAACAAAGCTTTATTTTATGATGCTTCTATGCTACTTTATTGCATTGTTTAATTTAGTAGAATATTTATACTAACTAGATTGAATTTGAATCGATGAATGTATTCTTTAATCAAAATGGATATTTTCTTTATTTGTTTTTAGGAGCACTTTTATTAATATCAATGTTGTCTCTTAGTATAGATAATTCATTGCTCTATCTAATATTTGTAATTCTATTCTACTTTTTATTTGCTTGCATAAAAGCTGTGAATAATATAAATGTAGCATTAATGATGATTTTTACCTATGGAGGATAAGTATTTGCATAATTTTTAAGTGTCTTATCTGTTGATAATGAGAAAGATTTGCAATTACATTAATAATCATTATATATTTTGACAAGTGGTTTGATAGTATTTTAATTGTTCATAACTTGTTTTGATATAGATTTCTTTGAAATGATAATCATCCTCATCACTGGATTTGTATTTGGGTATATTATAGTTATATTATTATTTAGATTCTTTTTGGTTATTTCAACAATGAGTAATGAATCAAAATTTATTGGTAATGCTTTGCCTGAAAGTGTTAGTATCTATACTAAAATTTTAGTATAGATTCTAAAGAAAGCATAACAAATAGCTTCTCTTTATTATAAAGATCCTGTTGAAATAGAAATTAAATTAATTGAAAGAAATAAGAAAATTGATGAAAATGATTATAAAATAATGAATCAAATTGATGCCAAAAATTGTTAACATTTATTAATAAATGAATTAAATGGATTAGATGGATTAATAGGATTGAGTGATGGAACCTTTATTTATAAAAAAGGAATGATTTAATATTCAAATTCAAAATTTGAAGAATGTACAAATGTGGCAATAATGAAATTATAATGATTAATATATGATTATAAAATAATTGTCTCTCAATTATCATTTAATTATACAACTAATTCTAAGTGGATTTAGATATTGATCTATCCATTCCTATTTCAAATTTGGAATTTCACCATTTCTCATTGCCACAATCTACATGAATTATGAGGCTATCTTTTCTACATATTATGTATGTTAAGCAGCATTTTCCTTTTTTCTTATACTCATATTACACATTCTAGTTGTATAAGAGATCCCTTTATTATCAAAATATTAAGTAATCTATTAATATGCTTATCTATTGATATATGCAAATCTCATTTTCAATTCTTCAACCTCTTGAGTTTCTTTTGGTAACATAAAATGGTAGGAAAGTATTTGACTTTATTTTATTTTTATTTTATCTATTTCAGTAACCATTTCCCACTTTTCAATTGGTTCTGTTGTGAAATATTTGTGTTTTTTTTTCATTAAATCTTAGAACTCCTTTAGATACTTACATTAGGCTCTATTTCTATTGGAAATTAATTCTACACATTGATTTTACATATCTCTTTAAAATCTAAAGAATTCATATAGATTTTCATTTAAAGTGTTTACCAACTTATTTAAATTTGTACTCCAATCTACAAAATATTCTTCCAGTAGAGTATACACAAATTCTAATAAAGGAAGACTACCAACAATATTCTTTAAATTAAAGGCTTTTGTTGCTTCCTTTAAAGAACCAATACTTCCAGCTAAATTCTTAACTTTTACTATGAAATCTTTCATTGAATTGACCATAAATCTTGAATTATCAGTTAACTCTTTATATATATCATTAGTATTTAACATATAACTATTTATTTTCAATATTATTACTTATTAATATCCATAAAATACTTATCCATCATAGGATTAAATTCCAAAATGACTTAACCTTCTTAATTGGCATAATCACTATATTTTGTTGGTTATTTTAAGACTGTAGATGAAGCTTATAATTATTTAAATTTGATATCATCATCTAAAAACAAAAAGCCTTCAATAAAGTCAGATTATCTTAATAAATGATTATTAAGAATGGCACTCAAAAATTGTTCTAACATTTTACATCTTTTGGATATATGTTCAGGTGTAAATTTTCTGAATAATGTTTTTGCTGGGAGTGGTGGTATCAAACTATCTGGATATTATTATTGTAATGCCTCTTATAACCAATAAAAGTGTTCAACTCTTCTCCATACATTAGATCCAAATTATCCAACAACTACACAATAATTTACATAATTTGGAGTAAATGTATTCCCTTCAATTATCTTATATTCTGGAATTCTGGGTTGTATAATAATCTGAGGATTTTCAACATAATACAATACGATTCTATTTGGAGCCAGTTGTTTACATTATATAGTCTCTCTATAATTCTTTTCATCATTGATTATCACATTTGGTTTAATTAGGATTTCTTCTTCCATACTCATTGTTCTATAGATATTTTCTATTTATACCTTGTCCTCTTAAATTCCTCATGTTTTTTCTCTACCATCGATTTTACTTCAGCCTCTAATGCTTCATAAGCCCAAGAATCAATTAAATCAAATTATTCTCCTCTTACTTGACTCAAGTGTTGAATTAATTCTTCTTTAGGGATTTTCTCATATAACACTGCTGATAATAATAAATCTTATTTCTTCAGTCTCTCAAATGTTAAACTCATTCAATATACAAAATTTAATATTCCATAAAAACAATGACATATGTATTTGATATATTCATTATCAAATATATTTAATTATCCTTCATCTAAAGTAGAGAAATTTATTAATATTTCTGACATTATAAATAAATTAATGAAGCAATCCTTTTAAATCAAATCTGACATGTATTTATTATTATATACTTTTAAGATAACTTTGCTTTAAAATTGTATTTTTGGGATCCAGTTCAGTTGGTAAAACTTCTATTATTAAGAGATTCCTCAAAAATGAATTTGCAATGAAATCAATGAGTACTGTAGGAGTTGCATGTGTATTAAATATTTTTAAGTTAAGGAATCTAAAGTAATTACTATAAACAACCAATAAGTAAAGGTGTAATTGTGGGATACTGCAGGACAAGAGAGATTTAGATCTTTGACAAAGAATTACTATAGAGGTTGTGATGCAGTAATCATTGTTTATGATATTTCAAATATAAAGAGTTTCGACTAAGTGAATGGTTGGATTGCTGATTTTGAAGAGTATATAAATATACTTATTCAACTAGAAAATGTGAAAGACCAGCTTTAAAGATGTTATTAGGAAACAAAATAGATCTGAATAGAGAAGTAGGAATTGAGTTGGGTCAACTCTTAGCAAGAAAATAGAACTTATTATTTCAAGAAGTATCAGCAAAAGAAAATATCAATATTGAAAATGCTATGATAAAGTTAATAGAAAATTTGATAAATACAAGATCAATTGATTCTGGAGATAAAATAATTAGAAGGGGATCTTTAGTTGAAGGTAAATCAAATAATGGAGATATGTCTAATAGTGGAATTAGCAAATCCACAAGACCTGTTTCACACAAACTTTAAGAAAGGGATATCACAATATCTGATAATTCTAAATTATAGGCTATTAAATCTGGTGGTGAAAGTTCACAAGAAGAATCTCCTTATACTTCTGGACCTTTATTATAATTAAATACTCCACCAAATATTATTGTCACTCCACCTGAAGATGCTATAATTGTTAATCAAGATTATAACAATATGTGGTTAAATGTTTCTAAACATAAAAAGAAATCACATAGTGTAAGTATGAATTAAAAATTGATTCATCCCAGAGAATCTGATTCAAATAGGGATGAATATTTTCTAAGACACAATGCTAATTAAAGTTGTTTCTGTTCATGTTGATAATATTAAAATCTCTATTAATTAATTAAGAAAAAAAAAAAGATTTAAAAAATTATTTTAAATAAAATGCCAAAGGGACAGACAACAACAACATAAAAAGCATAGAAAGCTGCTAAAAATACTAGAGTAGCAAAGAAAGTCATTAGAGCTAGAACTCATTTCTAAAATAGATTCCATACAGCTAAACCTTTGGCACTTGCAAGAAAACCAAAATTCACTAGATTGACAAGATAATTGAAACCCATAAATAAAGGTTTAGATTTCTAAAATGTCCTTAAACATCCTCTTATTACAGAAAAAGATATGAAGAAGATGGAAGATGAAAATACCATGGTCTTTTATGTCAATTAAAAAGCAACAAAACCATAAATTAAAAGAGCATTCTCTAAAATTTATGATGTCAAAGTAAGAAAAGTCAACGTAATATTTAAATGCCTATATTCAGATCTTAAATACCTTTGGAGGCAAAAAGAAGGCATACATTAGATTAGGAGGTGAAAATGATGCACTTAATTTGGCCAACAAAATAGGAATCATTTGAGTGACAAAGTCATTTTATATTGCATAGTAAAATATATATATATCTATTATTATTTATATTATTCATTTAATCAACAACTACTATCTATAAATTATATACTTTCAAAAAGAAATAAAAGAATTATTAAATAACCTTTAATATTAGATATGTCCAAGATATACTCAAAATTATAGAAACTAAACTATTCAATAACTTTCAAAATATGAAAAATTAAAGAAGATTTATAATTTTGTTAATCTAATCAGACATGAAAAAGGAGGATCTCAAGATATTCTTTATACATATGATTTATTACAAAAACTTAATAATCTTGTAAATCTTTGTAGGAAATTAATTACTTTTGATTCAAGATAACTATAAACTTATTTATAGATTAAAGAAATCTAAATTCAAATTTATTTTTGTTACTTACAAAATGTCCAAAAATAACATTCAAAATGCCAGATTAAGATTTTAATTTTCATTTGACTGACCAAATCAATGGATAATTTTAAGTTCTGAATGAATTAGATTTTTTAATTCCCTTAAATAATTTTTATTAGAAAATTAATGAAATGGTGTATAATAGATTGTGAATAAATCTTTATGATATTTAATTTGATTAATATTTCAAACTTGTATGTTGGTAAAATCTACAGATCTTACTAATTATAAAGCTTATTCACTTATGGCTTATTCACGTTGGAATTCATTTTTAGTGTCATTATAAATTTAAACTTCATCGGCATATAAGTCATTCTCTAATTAGAGTTATTATTCATATGTTGCTTAGTCTAATCTTCTTTAATCTCTAAATTCTGTGACTTAATCAATCTTCTCTAGAATATTTATATATTTTTATTCTTACCTAAAGTTGCTGTCAAATCAACATTAAGAGCATTTATTTGTTTCTAGAATTCTGCAAATTCAGCATCTAATTAAACTATTCTTGCTTCAAAATTCTCTTGATCTTAGATTTCTTATAATGAATAATCATTGATTGAATCTACAATGGCATTTCTAAATTCATTCAATACATTGACAATTTAACTTAAAACTCCTTGATCAGAAAAGTTTTAATTTGATGCCAATGTAATTAATGCCTTTAAAAATGGAGCCATTTTGCTTCTTGGTTTGATACTTTATTCAATTTTTTTAAGTGAATTCTAAAATTTCTTAACTTAAGCCAATGATGGATTATTGAGTGTTGATAATAAAGCCAATGCATCATCAACTGCAGCAGTTGCATCATTCAATTCAGCAACTTAAGCTTCATATGCTTCATGTTCTTGTTCTCTTGTTAAATTTTCTTCATCAACCTTTTATCTATTTTAAGCTTAGTACTCTTCTAAATTCTCAATTCTGACTTCCAATTATTCTTTTCTAGGTATTAATAGATTTTCAATAACATCTTCTGATCTACTTACATCAATTTAAGCTTATTGGATTTGTTAATTCAATTGAACAAGTAAAGCATTGTGTTCATTTGTTCTACGCTAGAAATTGAAATCTAAAAACTCTAGTCCTTCCTCTAAGTCATTAACAAGTTCTTCAATAGCATCAACTAATTCTGAGACAGCTCCTCCAGCCATTGAATGTAATTCAACCAAATGTAACAAAGCTCTTCCATAATTTGACTTTTGTAACTCTGCTTGTAATTTCTAAGGACTTTAACTTCTCAATTTAGCACATGTGGCCAAACAAATCACTAATGCAATGATCAAAATTCTCATTTTTTAATATTATTATGCTCAATGTATTACCGTTTTTCTTTTTCTTTATATATACTAACCATAACATAACTTCATTATATTTCCATTTGATTTGTTATTCAATTTATTCCAAATTAAAAAGTGTATCTCTTTACACTAAAATATATACTTATAGAGAATCTAAACTATCAAAATCATTAAACACATATTGATATTAAAATCTTAAATAAGATATATATTAATTATGATTAATTGCTTATATTTTTTTATTTAATTGAGATAATAAATTGATTTTAACTGTTGATCATAAAATAATGTTTAATTTCAATGTTAGATAGGATGGAATAAGTTAATATGTGTTTATTCATAATTTCAATAAAAATATGAATTTATATATATTCAAATTATATCTATTAATCTAATATTTAAAATTATTTTTTGAAAATTAAAGCTTAATAAGATTATTGTTTAATAACAATAAGGAAATTTGTATTCTTTTTACAATAGAAATTAAATAGTATATTTTAATTTATTTTATAATTAAGAAATTATAGAAATATCATATTTTTTTCATTAAATATGATATTTTTGAAATTATTTCCATTTCCTTTTTTACTATAAACTGAAATAAAAATGAATGAATCATTCTATAAAATGATATAAAACTTTGTACATTATTATAATTATTATATCAATACAGTTGAGTGTTCATTGTTATTTAGATCTTATGCTTATGAAAAAAAACGATTAGAACATTAAAGGTTAACTGTTTTAAACTCTATATCTAAGAATATAATGATGATTAATGATATAGAAAATCATTATGATATTTTAATAATTAACAATTTTTATGAGTATAAGTTACAGTAGTCATTTTGAATGCGATAACAGTTTGATTTTTCGTTATTTTACTGAATCTCACTATTTTTCTTTGAAGATATTAAATTATTAATGAACTAGAAATAAGTTGATATATAAAAGAAAATTTCGTTTAATTATTTTTAATGTTTTACCTTTTTAGACAATTATTATTACTATATCATGTTTTTAGGTATGTAATCAGTCTTATATTTGAAGTATTGCATTTGGAGCTGGATGTAAATAAGAAATATTAGATGATAATGTTTATGAGATACAGCATACATTCTCAACTTATTAAACGATAGGTATTTGGTTTAGGTGGGATCCAACACTAATGGTGATGAAGAAGTTATAAAGTTATAACCCTCGTTATCTGTTGTATGTAGAATAGATTGATATGAATGTAACAACATCATCTGCAAGATTATTTTAACATTTGGAATATCAATATTTTTTACTTGAACACTATGCTTATTAAAATTATGCATCAGCACCATAAAATGCTTAGCATTAATAAATTGAGAGAGTTTATGGTTTTCGAATTGATCCAATGCTTATGGAAGGGAATTGGGGTTTTCATTGTTTTAGCTATAATTCAATTAGTAAAGAATATAAAGTTTATCTTTGGTTTGCAAAATAAGGATCAATGACAGAAGATTATATTTTTGAATCAAAAGGATAGAATTTAGATAGATTTCCAGGAACAAAATATACTTATATTGTAGGAGATCTGTAGGGTATGCCTTTTGGTTAAGTATATCGAAAATTTGATCATGATGTAGTTATGGAGAGGTTTCGTGGTCATAGAAGTAAATTATATTTTAGTGATGTTTATTTGGGAACATTGACAGATTTTTTAGCATTAGATTAATTGAGTTGTGAATTGTATAATTATTGTAAAGCCATGGGAACAACAAGAGTATTTGTACCATTAATAGATGGAATAACATCTACATTTCCTTAAGTATCCACCTAACATTATAGAGAAGAAAGATTTAGTTTTTCTGGATGGGCTAAGTTGATAAAGAATTATGGTTTATCAGCAGATATAACAGTAATAAGAGTAGCACTATATGAATTTTATTCAAATGATTATGTTATGGGAGATAGAGTATTTATGATGAGTTATCATTATGATCCTGAATATCCATCAAATTCAACAATAAAAATAGATACTTATTCATATGATTTTCCAGCATTATCATTTTATACAACAACTTTATATGATACTTATAAAAAGTAAGGATTTAATATGTTTGATTTAATGACTAAATGGCATTACTTTATGTTTGAATCAGGAATTCAATCAGTTATATCTAATGTTAATATTAGAATAAGAGATGGATCAAATTAAGATCCAAATTATTATGATATAAAATATAATTATTAACGTAGAAATCATTTCAAATCATCTTAATTAGTAGTAAATTTAGGAGGAGATAAATTTAGTCCTAGTCCAATGGTTGGATTTTTAGCAAATGTAGCAATGGAATATTGTTTTGAAAATGATTAAACGTTTGAATTTAGTAAATATTATATATAATTTTTTAAAAGGATGCCATAAGATTTGTAAGACATGTTTTGGTCCTGATAAAACACATTGTCTAAGTTGTAATGATATTACAACAAAAGTATTAAAGAATAATGAATGTTTATGTATAAGAAATTATTATGAAGATGAAAATAATTCTTGTTAAAGTAAATATTATATTTAATTATATAAGCTCATAATTTTTATTTAGGATCACTTTAATTAATATAATCTAATATTAATAATATATGTTAAGAAGATTAATTTCTAATTCCAGTAGACACTTAAATAATTTGTTAAAAATGTCCATCTTCTAAAAGTGATTTTAGGATAATATGTAGTGATTGTTTATTAAATCAAAAAACATGGTATCAAAATCCAATATGTTCATAAGATTATATTAAATAATAAATAGGTGATATATTTGATGGAAATAGTGCTTTTCAATTACTTTAAAGAGATAAAGTTGATTATGAATATTATTTAATTTCAAAAGATGGAAATTTAAATCTTTGTGATGGTTGTTTAGATATTGTAACAGATGATAGTCAATTATATATATAATAATATTAATTAGATATACTTACAAAAATATAATGTAAACCTTGTCATTAAATAATTAATAATAAATGTGTAAATATCAATATTAATTGTCTTGAATGTGATTAAGATTTTAAATGTTTAACTTGTCAATCAAACTATTAATTATTTAATTCAGAATGTATTAAATGTCCAATTCATGAATGTGATACATGTAAAATTAATGAAGGCAATATTGAATGTGCATCATGTCCATATTCTACTTATCTTCATAATGGTACTTGTATAAAATGTGGTTAAAATTGTTAAATATGTGATCATTTTAGATGTCATAAATGTATAGACATTAACTAATATTATTTATCACTTGATGGTTTAAATTGTTATCTAAATCCTATTCCTAATTGTTTAATTGCTTTTGAAAGAGTCAATGGTTAAAGAACATCAACTCTTCAATATAATTACCCTTTATTATAAAAACATTAAACTACTATTATTGAATGTGCACTTTGTAAATCTAATTATATCAATAAATTAACAAGTTGTTCATATTCTGATCAAATGAGTGATATAGAATAGAGTCTTGATATTAATAATGATGGTAATATACTTTAATTAGATATCTAAATTACTAAAGCAACTTAATGTTAAAATATTGAGTCAAGTAACATTAATATTGATTGTTAAAGTCCCTGTTTTTAATGTGTTTAATAGAATTTATTAATTTTAGATGGATGGAAATAATAATTGGTTCCATTTTATTTATCATATTTCTCATCATCTAAATTTGATAGTTCTACTGATATAGTCGATAGTAATCTACTTTACAGTAAAGAATAACTTCAAATACATTGTTCTTCTTGTAGAGAAGGATATCAATTACATATAACATAATGTATTCCTATTTGTTCATCAAATTGTGAATGCTAAATAATAAATAATTAAAATGTTTGCTATAAATGTAAATCAAATGAAAGAGGTCAATAATTAAGTCTATTTGATGGTTAATGTATAGAATGTCCATATAATTGTGCTCATTGTAAAAAAAGAACAAATGCAGAAATCAAATTAATTAATCAGTATTTTGATCCATAATATACAGAATTACTAATTTATGGACATCAATGTCTCATCCCTTATACAGATACTACACTATTCTATGATATTGATATAGGAGTATATGTAGAATGTTCTACTACTCTTTGTGAAAACTCTATGAAATTAATAATAAATTATTATTGTGATCTAACCAGTTATAATACTGCCAAATCTAGTTATTCAGGAACATTATCAGAGTTCTAAAAATACAATATACTCTTGACTGATTATGAGTCATTTTAGCCTTTTTATGAAACCTAATTCTTTTATTAAATTATGAATTAAAGAACTCTTAAAACTATATCATTTGAAGTCTCATTAATATCCAGTAATGTTTATTGTGAATTGCCAAATAATTTTACGTTAGTCACTAATTTAAGAAGAAACATCTTTACTTTAATCAATATTCCTATACTTATTAAAAGCAATAACAATTAATTACAATTATTTACTAAAATATTTTAAGTCATTGGATTTTCATCTGTTACAATTTAAAATCTATAAATTACTAATTTTCCTTCAACTGATATTTAGATATATATTTCTGATTCTTATGGATTTGCTGTCACTATTCAAGATATACTTTTTAGTTGTTAAAATGTAAAATTATCAATTATTATCAACAATCCAAAATCTATTAAATGTAATTCACTTACATTTAAGGATATGATAGTATCAAATAGTTATGGAATATTTATGTATTAAGGATTAGATATAAAAGAAATTGTATAAGTAGAATTTATCAATGTTAAAGTTATCAATACAATACTCACAAACTCTTCTCTTATTGTATTATCACTTTTAGAAACTTTTTAAAATTAGAATGTTAAATTTAATACCTTTTTAGTTTAAGATTCATAATTTATTGAATCTAAAATCTTATAAACTAATTATTAGACATCTACAAGATAGGCTATTGTATAATTAAATTAATTGAAGATAATAAAAACAACTTTTATAACTTCTACATTTCTTACTTTTGAAGGATTCCTTAATGTTAAACTAATTGATTGTTAATTAGAATAGAGTTCTTTTAAAGAAGGTTCTATTTGGTTATTACTTCCATTATTTTAATTATAAAATATAAAAATAAATGATAATACTCTAGAAACATCAAATGATAGATTTATTACAAATAAAGCAACTGTAGCATATTCCGATTCTGATAATGATCAAAACTCTATTTAGATTTAAAATCTAATATTTGAGAATAATTAATTTGCAAGTGGAAAAGCATTCATAGAAATCTATTAGGATGTTTTTATTGGATTATCTCTAGACATTATTGATTTAAACATACATTTAAATTAATTGTTTGGATCATCTAATAAGTATAAATAGAGAAATATAGTTTCTGAAAATTCTACAATTTATCTTGATGTTCTTAAAATTTAACTTAGAAATGTAGATATTATAAGAAAATAATCATTTCCTGAATTAGCAATTCTTAATAGTATAGATGTTCAAATAATCAATTTGAATGCTCGACATTCTGAATTTAAGACTACATTCTTACATAATGCATATTTATGTGCAGAAAGATCAATATTCTTATAAGGATATACAGCATTGATGTATATATATAATGCTAAGAATATAAAATTAGAAAAGATATAATTGAATAATTTAAGAAGTGTAAATTTACCATTAATTTTGATAAAATCATCAGACAAAATGAAAGTGAGATAAAATGAAAATATTATAATCTAAAACAGTTATTTCTCACAAAATTTGTTACTCTTAACTGCAATAAGTGAATAATAAGCAATAATATAAATCAGTTCAGAATAGTATTAAAATGTAATCATAAAAAATGTAACTTACTTTCATAATTACTAACATAGTTATATTTAAGATTTATCATTTATTTCATCCTCTACTATCTTGTTCTCTAGTCCTTATTCAACTATAATAATGGAAGAAGTAACTTTTGAAAGAAATATGATAACAAATGGATAGAACTCAAATTTAGTGTTGAAGTGTTTAACTATTGTAATTATGAATTGTAGTTTCTTACAATCTAATTTTCCTCCTTTAGATACTATTCAATAAAACATATATTGGGGTATCTAATAAGATTAAGTTTTATACTTTGAAAATTATACTCAATCATTCCCTATCTATTCTTAAGGAGGTAGTGCATATTTATCAGCAAATTCATTAGATATTTAGAATGTATTGGTATTAGAATCAAGATCATAAAAAGGAGGAGCTTTTTACATAGCACCTGTATAAAATGGAATTATTAATATTTAAAACATAACCTTCTTAGATTGTAGGGCAAGTTTGGAAAAAGTATCATCTGCTTAAGGAGGTACAATCTATATTGATGCCTCTTTATCTTAATTAGATATTAATATTACAAATGCTTAAATTATTAGAAGTTATAGTAGAAGAGAGGGAGGTGTATTTTTTATTAATCCATCAAAAGTCAAAAATTTAATTAGATTGATCAATATTATTGTAAGTGAATCCTATTCTTTGTTTTATTCATTTATAAAAATACCATATACTTCTAGTGTTGATGTTTATTTTGAAAATTTAGTTGTAAGTAACACCTATTCAGGATTTAAAGATTATCTTGGATTACTATTTTATTTATCAGAAATAGAACTGAGTACATTTTAAAAGAGTTACTTTATTTCTTTGATGGGTAACATAACTATTTATATGAGTACTATCTCAAATTAATTTAGTGGATTATTTGAAATATAATCAGGATAAGCAATCTTTAAATAAATGAGTATTTCAAATTGTTTAATATATTCACAACCAATGATGATCTTTACTTTAGTAAATTTATTGAGTTTCTAAAATTTTAGAATGTTTAATATTTCAATTCATTAATATGATGAAATACCTGTTCAATCATTAGAAATAACTTATTAAGCTTTGTAAATGGAATGTACATAAGAAACATCCAAACCTTCCTATCTTTATGATGGCATAAATAGTTCTATTATAAATTATTATGGATAACACAATATCAAAAGTATTAGTCAAAGTTTCAATCATCCAAACTGTTTGATTTAAATTGATTCCATTTAGAAAGATTATAAAATCGCTTATAAAGATAGTCAATTCTAGATGATAAGTTGTCCAAATTGCTAGAAAGCCTTAATACTCCATACTTTTAAAGCCTATTATGATTTGGGTGTTAATATAGTTAAAATTGAGAATATTAAATTCAATAAAAACATTTGTGGATATAGTTGCTTTGTATTTCTATAATAGAATAATAATAGATTGCTTGCTTTAAGTTCTTCAAATAAGGAAAAACTTATCTATACTGTTTCTGTTAAAAAGAGTGAATTTCATTCAAACATTGGTTATAATGGTGGAGTATTTTATGTGGATGATATGAATCTCCTTATTGATTCCTGTATATTCAATTATAATCAAGCCACTTAATCTGGAGGTGTTGTTTACTTTATCTCAAAATCTGCAACATTCAATATTTACGATTCTGATTTGACATCCAACACTGCCTAAATTGGAGGTGCATTCTATTTAAATAATTATACTCTAAATTCTCCAGATAGACTCAATCTACATCTTATAAATAATTAAGCTAATAAATACGGTAAGAATTATGCTGAATATCCCTCATAATTAACAGTATCATTGGATGGAGAAAAGACCCAATTAGAAAAGAAATTGATTTTTTCAAATTCAACTACTATCATTGATTTGATATCAATATAACCCTATTCTTTCAATAATCAAACTAAAGATTTCATTGTTTTACCAAGTGGATAAGCAATTAGTAATTACAAATATTATAATGAGACTACTCAATAATTTGTATCATACAATTTGACATTTCGTATATTGGCTTTGAATAAATAATACAACAAAATTCAAAATTTAGATAATACAAAATGTTCAATCAGATCTTATCTTGTATCTAAATAAACTTCAAATTAAGAGAGTCCTAAAATTTTGTCAGAATAAACCTCAAGCTTCACAAATTTAAAAGAAGTTAAATTTGATACTGAAAATTAGGATTATAATCTAGATGATATGATTATTTATTTTGATCCAACTAAAAATTCTGAATAAGTCTTATAATTAGAATTTGTTTGTGATTCAGTCAGGATACCTATATTTAATTCAGAACCTCCATATTTATTAAATAAATTAATAGAAGATTATCGTTTGAGAGTAAATGTTCAATCTCTAGATTGTCAATTGGGTGAACAAAAAAGATTAGATGATGGTACATGTGTTGTGTGTGATTCAACACTCGATTAATATTCAGTTTAAGCAGGTTAATAATGTTAAACAAGAGACTCAACATCTACTGAAGCAGTAACTTCAGCAAGTGTGAAATTGAGAGCTGGTTTTTGGAGACCATACTCATACAGTGTTAGAATAGAATATTGTTTGAATATGGAAATTAATTGTGAAGGAGGATGGATACCAGGTAATCCTTCTTGTTTCACTGGACATATTGGAGCATTATGTGAATAATGTGATGTTTATAATATAGAAGGTAAAGGATCTTGGTCAATGAGTGGATAATATAAATGTGGTAGTTGTGATTAAATAGGTGACAATACTATTAAAGTAGCATTAGTAAGTGCATGGACTATTATATCAATAATGTTGTCAGTTAAAAGTACAATGGAAATGGTTGAAAACATGGTTATGGGAAAAAAGTTATAGAAATTTTATGTTGAAAATCCAAAAACTGGTTATGGAGGTATTCTGATTAAAGTTTTGACAAATTATTTATAGATTATAGGAGTTGTAGCTACATTCTAACTATCATTGCCTAGTGCTTTATCTGAAGCATTCAAAACAGTTGGAACTCCTGTAGAATCAATGAGTTATTCCTTGGATTGCTTTCTAATTCACATGACATAGATAGATATTCTTTATTTTAGAATGATATGGGCTTTAATAATGCCTCTAATCTACATACTCACATTCTCTATACTTTATATAATAGCAATCATTGTTGGAATTGTAATTCCAAATAAGAGTGCCATCAGTACTACTCTTATATACTTGTTTACATTTTTACAACCTACCTTATTAGGAGGGTTCATTTCTTTGCTATCTTTTAGATAAATTTCAGACATTTATTGGATTCAAGGTAATGTCTCTTACAGATACGATACAAGTACTCATGTGAAATGGTTAATTACCTTCGTTTTACCATCGGCTTTGATGCTAGGATTAATCATACCAACTTACTTGTTTCTTAATTTATATAAAATTCGAAGTAAATTGGATGATGAAAACAACAGGAAAAATTGGGGTTATCTTTATAATGAATATTAACCTAAAGCATACTTTTGGGAAATTGTTAAAGTCTATTAGAAAAGTTTTATCATTACATTTCTTACTTTTTATGAAGATTTAATCATTATTAAAGCTGCTTTAGTATTTATTATTGTCTTCATTTACTCAGGATTAACCAAAAAATATAGACCTTATAAATTACCATTTCTTAATTAAATAGATGATATTAGTACACTAGTATGTGGAACATCAATTGTTTTGGGAATGACTTTATATTCAGCAAATTTAACCAACAATTAAGAAATTATTTGGCCCTTTTACATTCTTTTAATTGTTATTAATGCTGCATTTATATTGGTAATTTTATGGGAAATTCTATGGGCAAATCTAGAAAATCAATAGGCAGCTTTGGATAAATTGAGAGATAAACTTAATTCTAAATTTCCAAATTTAGTTAATAAAAATTGGTTAACAAAAAGACTCTTTACTAACAGAGGAGAATAAATTTTGAGAGTCAAAAGAAGATGGAAAATGATTCGCAATTATTTGTTTGATATAGTAAAAAAATAAGGCTTAGTTTAAACTGAAGATCTGTAATTTTATCATCTAATTTTTTAGTGAGAGCAATTTAGATTAAAAAAGTGGAAGTTTACCAGGTATACCTAAATATTATAATAAAATATATCCAGAGAACTTCATTGATCATTTTGGATCAGATCTAGAAATGTCAATTTGATGAAAATTAAGAAAATAATTTAGTAAGATTAATTCTTATACAATAATACATTATATATATATATATATCAATTAAATAAGGCATCTTTACTGGAAATATAAAATAGAATCACTTACATACTCCTCTACAACTAACCATGATTATAAGCTTGTTATGCTGTATATATCCCATGAGATAATCGTTTAACTAAATTTTCTATAAAATCCCTGAGATCTCTAGATGCTGTATTAGGTATCATAAAACATGCCTATATTAAAAATATCGATACTGTTTTCATCAATTCCTGTTAGTTTTCCTTCCAGGGAGGTTTCCCAAAACAAAGTTCATAAGTCAAAACTCCTAAACCCTATATGTCTATCTTCTTATCACCTTCTAAAATTTCAGGTGATGCATATATCAATGTTCCACATTTAATTTGTCTGTCATCTTTAGAATAGAGAAGTCTGCTAATTTAACCTATCCAAAATTCAACAAGATATTATCTGGTTTAATGTCTCTATGGATCACATCCTGATTGTAGATGTATATCAATACAAATTTAATTTATTAAACCAATTGGACTGCATCTTTTTCAATGAATCTTTTGTTCTGTTTAGCCTATTAAACAGTATTCAATTGTTCATGAGAACAATAATCTAATACTAAAAAAAATTTCACTTTCTAGTCAGGTAATTTATTAATTCTACAAGTCTGAAAGAAGGTATACATCTTGATATATTTGGATGATCTAGAAGATATTAAATTTTAATTTCCCAAGCCAACTAACCTAAGATTATCTCCTTTATTATTAATGCTTTCTATATCATTTTCAGTGTAACCAAAAATCCTGTTTGAATCTATATTGCCAAAAAAACTTCACTATACTTACCAACTCCTAATTTCTTTATTGTCTCAAAATTCTTATACTCTTGGCATCTCATTTTTCTATGGCTCTATAATCATTTGTACCTTCTTTATTTAATAACTTCTATACCTTTTGATTCTCAACTTAATTATTATCTCTTTAAGGAACTAAACCCCTGTTTTGGCTGGACTCTGATTGAAATGAAATTTGTTCACTTTTTTTTTGGAAATTAATATTAAAATTTGCTTTTTAATGTTGATTTTTGAGAAACAAGAGAAGGAGAACTAAATATTATCTTCCCATCTCCATCTGTTTTAATGATGCCTGTATTAACTTAAAATATTGAGAATCTTTTATAAGGATCGGAAGGTCGATGTCCACATAAGATTGTTGATTTCTGTAACACTGAGTCTACTTTGGAGAGGATATTCGGATTTATGGAGGAGTGTTCCACTAATCTATAGTAAAGTATATATGGTTATTTTGGATAGTTCATACAGTTTATTGCACTTTGATTTAAATAACAATTATTGTTGAAGAAAGCAATTTTAATTATAAAAGGTGTGGGATAAATTTTTCATTTTATACATGTAGGAGATCCAACATATTAGGATTATTTATCAAACTTTGAAATTATTTGATTTTCTTCTGGCTTCTTAAAAGAATTTAATATTTTAACTTTTTTTATTTTTTTAGTTTTTTGTAACTGCTTTATACATTATAATACCTAATATTAGCCTCCAAAATATTTTTGATTCACCTTGTCTATATAGTTCTTTTAATATTTTGAAAACTTTCTTATATTGTTTTAAATGAATGAGAATGTAATTGCTCTTTTCTTTTTTTAAATTCTCCTATCATTGAATAATTCTCTTTCTTTTAAATAAATGAGGCTCTTTTAATGCTTCAATTTGTAAATAATTAAAGCTCTATCAATTATCCCCTTTTGGTGCTCTCTAGATTTTTAACTTTTTCAAATTTTGTAACTGAGGCCTGAAAATATTTTACTCAAAAGAAGCCATTTCTCACCTCTCTTATATAAGTATATTTTTGTTAAATTACAACTATATTTACAGAGTGATATGTAGAAATAAGAAGTTTTTTGGAAAAATTGGGACAAAAATTAATATGACAGCAGAAGGAATCGATAAATAATTTATTTTCTATCAATGATTTTTTCATTTTTTAGCCAGAAAATAAAATTTATGGTTAAAAATAAACACAAAATTTCGAATTCTTAATTATCTCTCCTTCAAAAGTTTACCTCTTAGAATTTTGCTTAATAAATTATCAGTTCTTCTTTCAAAGAAAAATTATAAAGATTTTGTTTAGGATATGGGAGATATTGAAATTACAAGAGAGAAATCTTAATAACAATTATTTTGACACTCCAAAATAGCATGAAAAAAAGTGAGCAAACTCTCCACTCTTAAATTTTTTTATGATAATAGATAAGGAAGTGATTCAAACTAACAGGCAAGCTAAATTAAATTGGAAAGCCATCAACAGTCCTTATTTTTATAAATTTATTAAAGATTCAAGTAAAAATATAAAACTGAAAGTAAAATCACAATTTTTTCCAAAAATAAAAAACCTTTTAAACCCTTTCTTTTTCTAATTAATATTAAGGTCGATTGATTTTCAAAATTTGAGTATTAAACCAAATAGCCCCAATCTTAAAACAAAAAAAATAAAATTCTAGTGTTATGACTATATAAATTAACTAAATTCATAAAAACGATTTCACTTAAAACTTAATTGAATCCTTTTAAACATTAATTTTACTTTTCGACTTCGCTGAATTCACATAAATCTACAAAGATTTAGATGTGATTATTATAATTATATTAAAATTAAAAATATTTAACTTAATGGATATGTCAATTCTTAAAAATTCAAAAAAAAAAATCATACTTTATTATATTATTTAATGAACTCATGCTTTTGATATTCTTGCATTTAAGAAATCTAAGAATGGTGGTGTTTAAACAACTTATAATGCTTTAGCTAAGATTGCTAATTCTTATTAAACAGATGACTATATAAATTTGATAAGATTACTAGAATATCATCATGTATTTTAAGATTAGCTGAATAATTATTATTTTCAGTTCTTAATCTATCTTAATAAGCTTTAAGATCTGCTTATCTAGTAGATATCATAGTTTAAACATCAGAAATTCTAACAGTTTTATCTTCTCTTTCTTAATAGAAATCAGCATATTATTAATCAAATACTATTTTTTCAGATGTTAATTATTATATTCTTAATTAATTTTATTATTTTTAACTGTCTTCATCTTTATATGCTTTAGTTAAAGCATCAAATATATTTAATCTTAAACTATTTAAGAAATCACACATTTCTTTTAAAACTTATCTATCTTTGAAATTAAATCCTTCAGTTAAATTAGTTAATGCTTAAATAAATGATGAATATTAATGTCCAAATTTTTCAGTATTTGATTTAACTTATTTTAATGCTTTATTAACTTTATGTTTTTATTCATCTGAAATTTCAATAAAAGCAGCTCTAATATCACCAGATTTAAATAAATCAGTTAATAAATCTAATGCTTCATCAATATTTCTTAATGCATCTGTAAATTCAGTAGTTGTTTATACAAATGAATCATGTTATATATTTCTAATTGCTTCAGCTTCTTTAAATGATTAATTATTATCTGTTTATTTAGCTTTAAGTCCTAATAAAATCTATTAATTTCATTAAGATTATAATAAAATACATCATCTAATTCTTAAATTCTTGGAATTAATTCAGAATTTAATACTTTCTTTTCTCTATTAATATCAAATTCAGCTTAATTAGCTTATGAACTTAAAGATATAACTTTAGCATTATGTTCACCTTCAATAACTTCCCATTATGTATTTTCTAAATTTAATCTTTCTTCTATTTATCTTCCAAATGCTTTGACTCCTTCAGTAAGTGAATCAACAGCTCCAGTAACTCTCATTGTCACTTCAGCTAAATCAATAACTAAATGTCCAATCTTTGATTATGTTAATTCATCAATCTATTATTATACACCTGGGTTAACATATTAATCCATTACACCTTAATTACTTACATTATATTATTCTATTACTTTTAAATCTTAGTTGATGTGACAACATACAAGATCATTGCCATACTCAAAAATCTTTTCATTTAATTCGTTTTTGTAATTAATAAGTGAATTTCATGAATTTCATAAATTTCATATATATCAATTTATATATTCAAATAAGCTCATCCTCATTTTATAAGTTTTATTACTAAGCGAAGCTTACGATTTCATTTGCAAAGAAAAACCAACTGCATCCTCTATACCAAAATGGGAATTTGACTCTCAAACGACTAAATAATTTGTAGATCTCTTCATTTCGTTTAAAAGCTTAAAACAATTTTTCATGATAGTAATGTAGTGAAGGTTATTTTTCTAATTAATCTTGATGAGAATCTGGAGAGAACATCATAAGAAAATGAATAATAGAAATTTCTNAGATGACTATATAAATTTGATAAGATTACTAGAATATCATCATGTATTTTAAGATTAGCTGAATAATTATTATTTTCAGTTCTTAATCTATCTTAATAAGCTTTAAGATCTGCTTATCTAGTAGATATCATAGTTTAAACATCAGAAATTCTAACAGTTTTATCTTCTCTTTCTTAATAGAAATCAGCATATTATTAATCAAATACTATTTTTTCAGATGTTAATTATTATATTCTTAATTAATTTTATTATTTTTAACTGTCTTCATCTTTATATGCTTTAGTTAAAGCATCAAATATATTTAATCTTAAACTATTTAAGAAATCACACATTTCTTTTAAAACTTATCTATCTTTGAAATTAAATCCTTCAGTTAAATTAGTTAATGCTTAAATAAATGATGAATATTAATGTCCAAATTTTTCAGTATTTGATTTAACTTATTTTAATGCTTTATTAACTTTATGTTTTTATTCATCTGAAATTTCAATAAAAGCAGCTCTAATATCACCAGATTTAAATAAATCAGTTAATAAATCTAATGCTTCATCAATATTTCTTAATGCATCTGTAAATTCAGTAGTTGTTTATACAAATGAATCATGTTATATATTTCTAATTGCTTCAGCTTCTTTAAATGATTAATTATTATCTGTTTATTTAGCTTTAAGTCCTAATAAAATCTATTAATTTCATTAAGATTATAATAAAATACATCATCTAATTCTTAAATTCTTGGAATTAATTCAGAATTTAATACTTTCTTTTCTCTATTAATATCAAATTCAGCTTAATTAGCTTATGAACTTAAAGATATAACTTTAGCATTATGTTCACCTTCAATAACTTCCCATTATGTATTTTCTAAATTTAATCTTTCTTCTATTTATCTTCCAAATGCTTTGACTCCTTCAGTAAGTGAATCAACAGCTCCAGTAACTCTCATTGTCACTTCAGCTAAATCAATAACTAAATGTCCAATCTTTGATTATGTTAATTCATCAATCTATTATTATACACCTGGGTTAACATATTAATCCATTACACCTTAATTACTTACATTATATTATTCTATTACTTTTAAATCTTAGTTGATGTGACAACATACAAGATCATTGCCATACTCAAAAATCTTTTCATTTAATTCGTTTTTGTAATTAATAAGTGAATTTCATGAATTTCATAAATTTCATATATATCAATTTATATATTCAAATAAGCTCATCCTCATTTTATAAGTTTTATTACTAAGCGAAGCTTACGATTTCATTTGCAAAGAAAAACCAACTGCATCCTCTATACCAAAATGGGAATTTGACTCTCAAACGACTAAATAATTTGTAGATCTCTTCATTTCGTTTAAAAGCTTAAAACAATTTTTCATGATAGTAATGTAGTGAAGGTTATTTTTCTAATTAATCTTGATGAGAATCTGGAGAGAACATCATAAGAAAATGAATAATAGAAATTTCTGCCAATCTATCTTGTTAATTTTGAGATAAAGTCTTACTAATTTCATGTTTTAATTAAACAAGACTAAGAATGACTCTTTTCTGTACATTTTCCACATTAAGTTTTCTCTAAGAAATATTATTTTATATTTACTTTTAATCTAGTTCCTTCTCCTTAAGTGAAGTTCGTAAAATATCCTGTGTATATTTCATATTCATTTGTAAGATCATACATCTTCCTTAAAGAATCAAAGTTTTCAAATATATGATTTAAACATTTTAGAGCATTCCTACAAATTTATTCAGTTAAATATTGTTAATACTCATTTTAATAGTAATTTTCGTACTTTTAGATTGAGTTTTCTACTTAGACCAATTCATCTTCCTAATAAAATTAATAAATAAATCTTGTGTCTATTTCTGGCAATCCTTTTTGTGTATAACCAGCAAAGACAGCCTATTTTTCTTCATTAATATGATTTAAAACTTCCTTGTAGAGTTTCCCTAATATACTTTTTGACTCATAAACAAATGAGTCTTTTTCCATAAAATCAGGCCATTTTTTAGAGATAAGATCTTAAGGAATCTCTACTTTGTTGCCATGTTTAACATAATCAACAGCAGCAGAATGTAATTCTGCTAATCTGATACATTTTTAATCTTTGGCATAATCTAAAGATCTATCTGCTATGGCAAGATGGCTATTATCTATTTTGCCTAAGACNTATCAAATTCAGCTTAATTAGCTTATGAACTTAAAGATATAACTTTAGCATTATGTTCACCTTCAATAACTTCCCATTATGTATTTTCTAAATTTAATCTTTCTTCTATTTATCTTCCAAATGCTTTGACTCCTTCAGTAAGTGAATCAACAGCTCCAGTAACTCTCATTGTCACTTCAGCTAAATCAATAACTAAATGTCCAATCTTTGATTATGTTAATTCATCAATCTATTATTATACACCTGGGTTAACATATTAATCCATTACACCTTAATTACTTACATTATATTATTCTATTACTTTTAAATCTTAGTTGATGTGACAACATACAAGATCATTGCCATACTCAAAAATCTTTTCATTTAATTCGTTTTTGTAATTAATAAGTGAATTTCATGAATTTCATAAATTTCATATATATCAATTTATATATTCAAATAAGCTCATCCTCATTTTATAAGTTTTATTACTAAGCGAAGCTTACGATTTCATTTGCAAAGAAAAACCAACTGCATCCTCTATACCAAAATGGGAATTTGACTCTCAAACGACTAAATAATTTGTAGATCTCTTCATTTCGTTTAAAAGCTTAAAACAATTTTTCATGATAGTAATGTAGTGAAGGTTATTTTTCTAATTAATCTTGATGAGAATCTGGAGAGAACATCATAAGAAAATGAATAATAGAAATTTCTGCCAATCTATCTTGTTAATTTTGAGATAAAGTCTTACTAATTTCATGTTTTAATTAAACAAGACTAAGAATGACTCTTTTCTGTACATTTTCCACATTAAGTTTTCTCTAAGAAATATTATTTTATATTTACTTTTAATCTAGTTCCTTCTCCTTAAGTGAAGTTCGTAAAATATCCTGTGTATATTTCATATTCATTTGTAAGATCATACATCTTCCTTAAAGAATCAAAGTTTTCAAATATATGATTTAAACATTTTAGAGCATTCCTACAAATTTATTCAGTTAAATATTGTTAATACTCATTTTAATAGTAATTTTCGTACTTTTAGATTGAGTTTTCTACTTAGACCAATTCATCTTCCTAATAAAATTAATAAATAAATCTTGTGTCTATTTCTGGCAATCCTTTTTGTGTATAACCAGCAAAGACAGCCTATTTTTCTTCATTAATATGATTTAAAACTTCCTTGTAGAGTTTCCCTAATATACTTTTTGACTCATAAACAAATGAGTCTTTTTCCATAAAATCAGGCCATTTTTTAGAGATAAGATCTTAAGGAATCTCTACTTTGTTGCCATGTTTAACATAATCAACAGCAGCAGAATGTAATTCTGCTAATCTGATACATTTTTAATCTTTGGCATAATCTAAAGATCTATCTGCTATGGCAAGATGGCTATTATCTATTTTGCCTAAGACATCGAAATTAAGATATTCAAGTAGAAATTCAATCATTCTATCTTCTTAAAAGAATTCTTCTGCAGACATATAACCTTGAGCATGAATTTATGTTGTTGCAGCACCAGCAGCTGGTTTTTTTTCTTCATCATAATTCATTGGATTTTCAATTGTCCTAGGTATGACTTTTGGGTCCCAAGAAACAAAATAAATATCTCCATCTAAATCACCTCCACCACAATCAGCAGGTATAGAATTTCCTTTGCATGGGAAAACAATGCAATTAAAATATTCGGCAAATGGATTTTTTTTATTATATCTACTTAAAATTTATTCTTCTGATAATGCCTTGACTTTTCGAATATCTCCAGGATGTAAACATGGATTTCTGACAACAATAATTTCTCCAGTAACATAAAAATGTTTTATATCTTGAGCCTCTTTTACAATACATACAACCTCTTAAGAATATAAATGATTATACCTCCTTCTGTTAAAATATCATAATCATCAACTACACCCAAAACTCTTGCTGCTTTATCCATAAGAATGTTGGACTTAGTTCTTAATTACATAAGTCCTCTTCTTCTCAATCTATCTAAGACTTTTTTAATAAAAGTATTATTATTTTCATTTTGATTTGCATTGATCATCAATCTTATACTATCTATAATAGATGGCAAACCTTATAACTCTCCATTATAATCTACTAAGAAATGTTTATAAATTGATGAATCTATTGCAGATAAATTTTTAATTTTCTCCAAATATTCTAATAATATATATGAATTTAATACCATATTGGAGTTGCATAAATACATTTTCTTGAATACCTAATGTTACTAATAATATAATTATTTATCTATTTAAATATCCTCCTCTATATTTATTGTAATCTAATAAGGAGATCATATTAGTGTAATTTCCATCATTTGATAATGATGGATTAAACTTAATCATGCTCTTTCTCAATTCAATTGTATTATCAGGTAAATCATCATTTAATAGTAATACACCCTTTGCACCATGATATCTAATTTGAATAGCTGAAATTTATTGATTATTCATTTATCCTCTTATGATATTTATCAAATTTCTAGATATCTTACCAATTCCATCTGTAAATAATTTTCCATTTTCACCTACCTTATCTGGTATTTCAGTCCTTACAATTAATTATTGAAATTTAATAGATTTACTTGAACTGAAATTCTAACCTAATCTAGCTGCATTCTTAGCCACTTAATCTTTATTTAATTTGTTAAAATTTCCTATAGAATCTATGAAATTTTATCTTGTTATAGAAGCTCTATTATAATTAAATATCCAACATGAACCTCCTCTCAATTAAGATGCACTCCAAGTTAATAATCTAAATTCTTCTCCAAATAATTTCAATCCATTTTACAATTTTGATTTAAAGAAATATTCAGTAATATAATGATGTCCATGTATTGTTTCCATATTTTCATCTTCAAAATGTAATCTTATGAAATTATTCAATTAATTAAAATATTATCTAATTATTACACTAGTCTCTTCAGGCAATTTTATATTAAATTAATACCCTGAAGGTGTTAATGATACTCTTTTTATCATTGCTATTCTCTTCTATTAATCCTCATCAATTAGATTTATCACATCTTCAGTAAATCTTTATAAATCTCTTTTAAAAGTTAAATAATTCTTTTTATTCAATTCTGATTATCTAACTGAAAAATTCAAATCTGTGCTATATCTAGAAAACAACTAAAATGTAGATTCTAATACTTTTTCCCTTAATTAATAATCATTTTCATTATAATTTAGAATTATTTTTAATAAACTTTTTAAATAATTAACATCTGTAATCCTATTCTATGAAACCACACACAAAATATTGTATTTCTATTCGAAACTTAATTAACTGTTCTTTATCGCCATTTAAAATTAATCATATTCTAATTCTCTATTTTCTTTTTCTTTAAATGATAGATCAATCTCTTCTGTGTACAAAAGATTATATAATTTTAATTTCTCTATTACCATTTTATATTCCATCTCTTCTTTAGATTCATTTTAAAATGAAAATTAAGCAGTAATGATTGTATTATTAATTATTATCAACCTTTCTATTTCATTCTAATATTTTTTATAATAAGCATTTGAAAATATGTTATGAACTCTGATCCAATCAGTTTTAACATTAAACAACTCAAACTTTCTTTTAGTATTCAATGAAATACTATAATTTGGTGGACACAATAATTTAAAATACATTTTCTTACCTGAACTTTCAGACACAGCATGACAATATTAACAATTTACTAAATCAACTTCAATTTTTAATAAAAATTTATCAAGAATATTGAGTATGAATTCCACTTTTTTTGCCAATTTAGATTCCTCATAATGGAACATCATTTGAGCTGATAACTTTTATAATTAGTCTTGTAAATCTGAATATTTAAAATAAGGAGACAGTTATAAATTGATAGGATTCTTCTCTTATTAATCTATGTTTATATCTTTAATATATTCACCTGTAACATAAGAAAAGGTTAAATTATTCAATTTAAATGGAATTTTACCCATTTTTATAGAATAATCTTAGTTTTACAAATTATCCTCTAATAGTTATGCATTTCTAAAATTTATATATACAGGTTAAGAATTTGGGTTGATGTGAAAATGGAATTTCAAAAAATCCTTCAAATAATTTTTCTACATTCTTAAAGTAACAGTGAGCGGACTATCTAATCTTGCATCCAAAGGAGCTTCATTTAAATCATAAAGTTGTATATCCAATTTAGAAACTTTAGTCAATGCCTTTTCTAATTTTTCAACTATTTAGTTAATCTCCTATAATTTATTGATCTTATTTCTTTTAGTTGCATCAATCATTGTAATATCTATTGTATTTTCTTATTCCATTGAAATATCTTAGAATGTGATTAATCCTTCATCATCTTCTACTTCTCCGTCATTCTATTAATTACTAGAAGGCTAGGCATCAATATTAATAATGCTATCCTTGAGTAAACTTACCAAAAACTTATTATCTTTGTAATTATTGAAATTTGGTTCACTAATCAGCTTCTAACTAAAATCTTCATCAGCTAATTGAGTTCTAAACTCTACTTTTAGTACCTATAAATATTTTTCAATTATTGTACATTAATTGCTTTTCCCTCGAATTCCTTATTAATTGCTTATTAGAGATATTCCATAATTTTTTTAGCTGTAATTGTACTCAAATCTTACTTTTATAAGTTGTGCAAAGCAGGTTTGATTATAATGTAATCATTATCAGAAAATTTTGATAAAGCATCAATTACCTAAATTATAGTGAATTCTATATACTTGTTTCGATAGTTCAAATTCTTTCTTCTATTAGTTTTGGTTCATTGTTAAAGAGTACTTTATTTAATATTAATTATAGATATGTAAAATCAATTAAATTTCTTAAATGATCATTATAAAATTTTTTGCTCTTCTTTTCTTATTTTTAATTGATTTTTGTTTAAATTAAGAAAAATCCAGAAACTATGATTAATAATAACTAAGTTTAATGTGATAAAAATCTAAACCCATATATTCAAATAGGTTAAGTAAATATTGCTTATCTGCAGTATTAAAAAAGAAGAACCCAATTTAAATTTATAATTTTTGTTCTTTTTTATTCATTAGAAAATAATCTAAATTAAGTTTCATTTTTATGCATTAAATTATATTAGATAGAATGGATTATGAAAAATCGAAATAAATATACAAAAATTACATAATATGTTATTATTCAATATATTATCTCATATTTTTATTTATTATATTAATAATATAAAAAAATGCTTCTGAATTGCGTAATTATTTGGACATTATTACAATTCGTTCAAAATTGTATTGTAAGCTTATCTTATTATCATAGTTGAGAAATCAATTGTACTAAAATTCCTATAATGTTTAAAATTAACCGAATATCATCCCTTTAGGATTACTATTTAATGGATCGTCTTTGCAATTTAGCATTACAAACAATAATAATACATAGGGATACAAAATTTATTAATCTGTTGATCTATTGCAAACTTATGATACTGTATTGAATGTTACTTAAGTTATCGCGAGTTCCCAATTTCCAATAATTACAAATGCTCAAGTCTAAATACAGATTATTTTTCTCACATAAACATAATCAACTTATTAGTTGTATATGACAACTTGGTAGTCCAGTTCAATTAATACTAAATACTAGTTACTTGGTAATCTTACAAATCAATAAAATTGTAATCGAGTGACTCATTTGAATTAAAATTATATTGTCATTTTATGCAAGAATTAATTAGCATCTTATAATATGACGTCAAATTCAATAATATATTCATAAATAATATGGCCAACATTTACAATTAATTATTATTGGCTTAAAACAATTAATGAAGGTAATATTGTTAAGTAATCTTTAGATACTGTTTATGTTTCCTTTTCTGACGGATCCTCAAGTTTCACTTCTACTAGTTATGTTAATACTAATGGTTAATTTATTAAGGTTAATGTGACAAATTATGATGGTATTGTTACTGGATTTGATGTCTATCCTGATAATGCCTATTTTATTCTTAGAAACTCTATCCTATCCTATGTAAATAAGAATACTCAAATCAACTGTAACATAACATTTAGTTCATAATCTTTCTTGAGTACCTTTTCAGGTCTAAATAAATTGGGTTAAGCACATTTCTATATAGCTGTTATTAATTAAACATTATTAACTCAATTTATTTTCAATGCTGATAATTCCTTATTTAATTAACCATTTTAACAATCCCTCCCTATAATTAATTTAAGTCAATAACCATAACTCTATAATGATTAATATTATTTTGTCATCTAATATGGATCATATTATGAGGTTTTTAATGGATATGAGAACCAGTAAATAGGTATTTCTCCATTATACTACCAATAAATTCCCTAAAACTCATTAATATTATACATCACTTATTCAGATTAAATTTTGATTCAGACTGTGAATTAGTCATCTCTGAATCAAGTGAATCAACCGATTTTAGTATTTGAAAAACCTAGAACAAATATCTAATAAAACTTTACATATACAATTATGGCAACTGGTACTCTTTCATCAAATCATAATTGCTATTAACATTTTATCTAAAAATCAATATCTGCTGAATTTAATTAAGTTTAATAGTATTAGAATTGTTCTAAAATTAATGTTAATTTGTAGAATCCTCAAATTAAGCAAGTAGATGTTGGATATTGTGCATTAGGACCTAATATTACATACCAAGCTGGTACCTTTGTGAATATTGAGGGATTGGGGATTGATACATAGATAGGATAATTTGTGATTTAGGTTGATGAATTAGAATTGTTTTTTTAAGAGTTGGCTATTTATTAAATTAATGAAATTTATACATTTTAGAGTAACCCTAGAGAATTTACATATTTCACTTATTTGATTAATCCATTAAATAGTAAATAATACATATAATTAATTTAATTTAATGATTTTCAAGTGGAGTATCAAATTTGTGATAAATGGATATGTTAAAATACAACTGTTATTAATTTGGATTATGAGGTAACAATGTCATAAATAGGAGCTGACATAAGTAAGAAAGAAGATTTTGTGTTATTGATAACTAATGCTGCAACATCATATTAATTATGTATTTATCAATTTTAGAACTTACAATAAGTTGATTTGTAAGTATTGGATGTGGCAGAGGATTTGAATATTGATCCAACATTTTAAATTTAACAAATAATGCTTTCAGGTCCTTATTTATATATAATCATTGATAACCCAAATTAATTGGTTATTTATGATATTTACAACTTCAATTTGGTTCAATTTGATGCTCCAAATTTGTAACCACGAAAATTGGAATAAAATTATGCTTCTTATGGAGATAATATCTTTTTAGACAATACAGTTAATCTTATTATATTCGAAATGGTGAATGGTTAATTTACAATTGGTGCTCAAATACCATATCCTACTAATGCAGAAAGTGTAGCAATAGGATTACTCTAAGCTGGTGTATATATAGCTCTATCGAGTAATACAGGATAGTCATACTTGTACTATTATTCAAGACAATTACTATTCCAAAGTTTAATTAATCAAGAATATGTAATTCAAATTCCTTTGTACAATGCTTAATTTATATAGCCTATGATAAGTTCGTTTAGCTAATAATTCTTTTATATTTAAATGATTATGCCTGACAGTAGCATTTAACTTTGTATTTTCAAATCAGATTATTATTTGCTTTATCTTACATATTATTTTAAGGAGCAATTTAATTCAATTAGTGTGATTTAAGTTGATACTCTCTAAAATTATGATTTAATTGGGTTTTAATCAGCCTAAGAATTTACAATCCTCTAAAATTATTGGTAGGTTTCTGTAATTTTAAACTCAGAATTTTTAGTACCTGGAATTTAATTACTGAATGATACATAAATATTGTTGATTTGTTCAAATAATTACTTAAAAGATTATGCCTTTTCATTTCCAGTATCAGTAAGCAATGAATATTATGACATTTCAAGGAAAAATGAATCTTATCCTACTGTAAATTAAATAGAATAAAACTTTACCATCATGGTCGATCCTCTGCAATACTTTTAAGGATCTATTATTAATTATAATGTGAAATCTAGAGGTAAAAACAATGCCTTTATAAGTTAATTCATCATAGATTATTACTTTGATTTTGAACCAACTATAAATAGTGCTACGTATTCTCAACAAAGAGAATTAATATTTGCAGTGAACAACGAATAAGCAGTCCAATATGATCTTTCAACTAATTAAACTCTGCTAATGTATGAATTCAACAACAATCAATACACAAATTGTCCCTTTATTTTTGTAGAATACTATCAATAATAACCAATTTCATTTTGTACTAATAATACTGACACCTATGCATACCTAAATGGATAATAAATATTTTCCATCAAAAGTCTTACAGGGACTGCAATGCCTAATTTATTTAATGGATTTTATTAGAATTACATATTGATAATGGGATTCTAATAAAATTCATTGCCTAATTGTTTAATAATTAATACTTATTATGTAACTTGGGTGAATTAGTTTACTATGAATTTAATCGAAAAAACAGAGAATTGTGTATATCAACTTTTTACATTCACTATGATTAATATAAATACAACCCCAACAAATTTGAAAGCGATTTAATGCGCAGGTTGGATTGGAATCACAGATGATATTTCTACCTTCCCATTTCATTATAATTGTTTCAACTTCTCATAACCAATTTAATAAGTCAATGTTTATACTCCAAAATAATTGTTTATTTAATCCATACTTTCCAATTCAATTCAATTGATTTAAATATCTTAAATTGGATCGCCTGTTATTTATTCCAATTATTCTGAAATTACACTTTTATTTGGAAGTCAAAATAATGCTTATTCATTTGTTGTACAAATATACGAAAATAGTATAGAAATTGTAGATAAATTGTTAATATTCTAATAATTCAGTAATCAAAAAGCTATTCAAACTATCAGTGGATATAATAGCAATGGTAATTTGACGGTTATCTCAATGTTCTTGTAAAAAGTAGGGTCCTAAGTATTTCAAACTCTTTGCATATATCAACCATTCAACTTTGATTTTACAGGGAAACTCAGAGTAATTGAATTTCTATTTTGTCGAACTCTCCATTATTCATTACCATATACTTAAAAGTATACACCCTTTTTATATTACTTGATAAACAATCTGGTATTGACCAATTAGCATATGCTTATAATTTCATAATAACTTTAAATAACAGTTCATGCTTTTCCTCATACTGAAAGTATTATATATCTAAATGCATCAAATTTTGATTCATTTCAAAATCTGACCATCAATATCATTTAAATTGATTTAGATCGTACTTATGTTGGATGGATAGTGTTTTCCTTATTAGTTGCACTCTCCATAGCCATTATTTGGGGTTATCAATATATCAAAAAATTACGTAACATTAATACTGATACTGAAAATTATATTGAATTATGAGACATGTAATAATATCGTAATGAATAATTTTCACTTTTTAAATTCAATTGCCAAAACCTGAAGCTTCCTTGAAATTTCTCATCACTTAATTATCTGAATTGTTATCCCATTACGCCAATTCTATACGTTCCTACATTTTATTAAGAGTTTCTTTGAGCATGTCTGCAAATTCTAATGACATGTCATCAATTTTCTTCCTTAATTCTGCAATATCTTAATCCTTTTTCTTCAGTTTCTCCTCATAATTAGCTCGATAATCAGTTATTTACTATTCTTTGGTTTCTAGGTATACTTTATTATATTTGTACTAATAACCTCATCCTTTTCTTTCACAGTAGCATTCAACTCATTGATATCTTTAAGTAATTCATCCTGCATTTATTTATATTGTCTATTCATATCTGTACTGATATTAAATAACTTTTCCTTTTCGTTTTTGAAGTCCTTTTCCATACTTAAATATTTTTATTGTAACTGCATCTCTTATGTTTTGGAACGATCAGCTCTCATTTATTCCTCAACAATTCTCATCTATAATCTCTTGGCTTCGAAATCGAGCATTGTAATTTTTGCTGCATTGTTTTATGCTCCATCATCTTTCTATTTTTTAGGAGGCATTGTTAATTTAATAAACTTATAACTTTATTAATATATATTTGATATAACAAAATAACAAATAATGTAAATGTTATTTAACAAAAATATATATATTGACTGTAATATCTCAATGTTTGTGATGTTTCCTAATAAATTAATATATATTTAAATTTTACTTGCTATGCTTTCTTGATTTACTTCTGTCTTTCTCCTTATCCTTCTTTTTCTTACTACTCTTTTTCCTACTCTTTTCTCTTGAATTCTCTCTACTTCTTGATCTCTCCTTTTCCTTCTTATCCTTTAATTTCTCTCTCTCTTTCTCTTACTCCTTGTCCTTTGCAATATCCTCTTTGAATTCCTACTTCCTAGCTTCCTCCTCTAATATCTTTTCCAATACCAATCTTCGCACCTATAATTTTTACAATTCCACTCTAATTGTTGAAAACCCTTAGTGAATTCTACCATCTAGATGAGTTCTAAGAAATAGAATAATACTGAAATCAATACTTGACTTTGTTTTCTGTCTCATAAAGAGATTACCTAGCCCCACATACTTCACAAATTTTATATGTTTTAAATGGATTGTTTGTACCCTCATATGCAAGTAATACATCTTCTCTAGCCTTCTTTAAATTATCTGCCTCCATTATCAATCTTTCAGATTCCTCTATCTTACCTTATTCCCCCATCTTTTCACTTTAATCTGTTAATAGATTAATCTATCTTTCCATATTGTCAAGTCTATCTTAAATTTCCTTAGGTCGATCAGCCACTTATAGTTTGCTTGATTATTCAACTTACTCTTCATGTTTGGTCAATATCTTGTCTACTTCCTTCAACTTATCTTGGATGTAAGCTAATATAATTATCAGGTTCATACTAAACCTATTGCTTCTTCTATGTATTTCTTTTCTCTTTATTGTTTCTTTAAACTCTTATCACTATTGAATTCATTAATAAAAAATTGATCATGTCTCTTATTACATTCCCCTTCATGATCATACTTAGTATGCTTCCAAAGATCATTAAAACACTTTGAAACTAGTATATTCTTGCACACATCATCATTCCAATAATGAGCATCGTTTTTCCTTTTACTTGCAACAACATTTCTCTCTTTTCCAAATAATTCATCGAGGATTGCTCGAGAATCTTCGCACATTAATTATTTATTTAAATATTTTATACATTTATACTCTACACTAAAAAAATGAATAATATAGATAAATAATAATCTCTTATATCTCAAATTAACTTTATAGTTGACTCACCAATTGCTAGTATCTTATCTTAAATAATGCAAAAGTCATAAACTTTAAATAGTGGAATTTATTTGCATTGATTATTCACTAAATCCCACTCATATAAGTTTTATTTTTAGTTAATCACACATTTTTTATCTAAAAATAGACACTTGTTAATTATGTCTCCTTTAGTTTTACAAATTTACGCTAATTTCAAATCTCTTATGATCCATTCAGATTGAGCATTTAAAAATAAATACTATTAAGAGAATCTTATTTACTTAATAATGCTTGGCCTACAATCAGCTATTAATCAAAATTGATAAATATACCTTTCTAAACTTATTAAAAAGTTACTACATCCCAAACCTCAATCTAATTTTTATTATTTAAAACATATAATAAATCTGGAGTAGGCATCCCATAAACGTCAGCATTAAATTACTATTAAAATTAAACCTTCAATAAACGTTTTATGTTTTCATCATAGACACTTATGCCAGTACTTTGATTTTGATCATCTACTCTTTTTGGTGCAAAGAGATTAAATTATTGGGAAGGAGGATTATGAAAATCATAACTAAAGACAGAGCGATTCTGATATAATTGACAACTTTTATATTTTTCAACCAGCATTTCTGATTCGCTGTATTCATTAGTTATAAAGTTCCATTTAACAAGGAGAGGATAAACACTCTTAGAGATCTTGAGAATACATTGTATAGTAGAATCAGTGAGAAACATTACAGTCTTGATCTCAAGATTGTCAATTTCCTTTCTTCTCTAGAATTCTAATTTGTTGTCAAAGGGATAAATTTCTATTTCAATATGAAAGATCACTTCTTCATCATAAAGTAATCCACACTTTTAAACAACAGCCAAAAATTATTGATTGGGACTTGAACAACAATGTAAAACTTATTTTACTCTAGCTTTGTAAAAAAATTGTTTCTCTAAATTAGTATTCAACAAAATAAAATCCTTCTTAACTTTGTGTTCAGCAATTATTATTTCTTAATTCATTGTAATAAGAGAATAAACACCTGGACAAAACTTGACTTCAAATGTCTTGGTTTTTGTTCCTAATACGATATTCCAACTAGTCACTACTGCATTCTTACTGATTGAAAATAATTGATTGTTAGTATAACATAAACCATGATGAATGTCATCTTTTGATGAATTCAGGATAATTTAAACTACAGCCTATTTATTAGATTAGAATTTAGTAATCACAATCTAACCATTAGAAGCAAATGCAACTGAATCATATGAAATGGGTGTCCAACATGTCACTGCACAACCATATGTAGTTTATAATTCTTCCAATTAATCATTAACAAAATCTATTATGAAGACTTCACCTACCTTTTTCTATTTGCCGAACACTAATCCATTTTGTAGCATAAGTAAATCATCACAATCATCAAATTTCTCTGAAAGTACTTTTTATAATTCAATCATTTTTTTGGTTTTTGGTTCAAAATTATTATATTTGGGTTCCATTTGATTTGGTTTTCCAAAATTGGACGTTCTCCATAACATTAGTTCCCCATCTTAGACACCTATAATTCTAGGTATGTATATGACACTACCTTGGATTAGGATGATCTGATACACAAAATGCTGTTAGTGCTTATTCAATCAAGATTGTCTTTTTATTTGTTTCTGGCTCAACCATCATTAAAATATCTCCAAATATTAAATAGATCTTATCATGAACTGCCACCATTTAATAAGGCATGTTCTCTATTAATCCCTTGTATTCTTTTTTCAATTTCATTTCCTTATCCCAAATAGCTAATGAATCTGCTCCAGATGTGTCACATAAATATCCATTAAATGCAATCAGGTTATTCATAGAAGGCTCCAAATAATCATCGCTAATTGGAATCTAATTGCTCAGAATATCATTACTTGATCGAATTGCTAATCTTAAACAGTGACTTTCAATTCCAAATTTAATGATTCCAATGAAGTCTATTAAAACTATTGACTCTGTTTTTTATTCACATGAAACTTCTTCTTCTGTGGTATGTCAATGCCAGGAGGTGGGCCAATTTGATTATCATCATCATCACATAATCCAGGTGGCGGGTTCATTCAATTATTTAATTTATTCTTTAATTACAGAATAGGTACTTGTTATTTATATCTTATTATTAAATAATATTCATTATTTGTGATGTTTCTTGCTCTTACGATGACTTCTTCGGTGCTTTTTCCCTTTGCTCTTTGATTTCTCTTGATCATTAAAATCATAATTGGGTTAGATTTCTCCAGGTTCTGGTTCATGCTCTTATTTTAAATTTTTAGACCTCTCTGGTTCAACTTAACTGAGATCTTGTCTAATAGAACCCTCCTCCTTTTATTTTTTTTCCTTCTTCTCCTTTTTCTCCTTCTTTTTTTTCTTCTTTCTTTCACTTTAATCTTTTTCAGATGTCTATTATTATTAAATAGGTTCTTCTTGAATTTATGTAGATTATTATTATTATTATTATTATTATTATTATTATTGTTATTGTTATTGTTATTGTTATTGTTATTGTTATTGTTATTATTATTATTATTATTATTATTATTATTATAATAATTATTATTATTGTTATTATTAGATCTATTACTACTATTATTATTGTTATTATTATTAACTAACTATAGAAACAACGGATATTTGCTATGATTAATTTTGTTATTATTATGATTACAGCTACTAGAGATTGGCAACAAAAGATTCATATTATGCCTTCTTTTGTTCTTCGACTAATCCAGCAAGTTTTGGGTTCTCTTATATCTTTTAATTGATAATTGGTAACATCTCTTCATAAGATTTGTAATCAGGCAATGATTTTAATAATTTAATGTATCTTTTACACATCTTCTTATATCGCTTGGACTAAATGTTGGATGACTACTTAATGTTTTCTTAGAAGTAGCGATAATAATATTTCTTTTCATGTGATGGCATTTTTGACCATATCTAATTATCAACAAAGTATGCTTCCACTTCTTCAAAGCTTACATTGGTTAACACCTTGACTCCCTTTTATTAGAGATGCATCTTTAACTCCGATTTATATAACTAGTGGTTCTACTTTAAATGTGAAATGAAATCTTAAAACAACTCATGAGGTTGTGACCCTGGTTGTCCGAGCATGCAAATAAATCTATCATCTTATTATATTGTCTATACAAATTAACCCCATTTAGTCTTGTGTGTCAATAAGCCTTCCGCCAGGTGTTCCTAGAGCAATTCCCTAAAGTTGATCCTATTCTACCTGTATTTAGAGATGATAGACTATCTCCATTGTTCATAAAGAGGGTTGATAACCTAAATAAGAAAATTGTATACTTCTTCAAAGACTCCAAGAGCATCAATTGGCAACATCTGTTACAAGAGTCTATCTTAACTAAATAGCTTTAAGCACTCATCCCAAGTGGAACTATGACTTAAGACTCCTATTTCTATATGTCTTTGTAACCTTTTTCTGAAATCTTCAGTTGTCGTTTTGCGACTCTCCTTCATCTACTCTTATTCTTGTTTATATAACTTATCTAAATAATCCTGGAATAAATTTTCCCTTTCCTTTTCATCAGGGATTGCTTTCCATCTTGCATCTGTAACAAGATAACTTTATACTTTCCATAACTTTATGTCTGAAGAGAGGATCTTGTGTTCCTCCAACATTTTCATAAAATCCTCCTTTGCCATACTCAACTTAGTTTTGTTCTCTTCTTTTTCTTGCTTTTTCATCTCTTCCAAATACTGATTATAAATCTTTTTCTTGTGACTAATGCTCCCTATACATTTCCATCTTGAATCACTTTGTAATTGTTTAACAACTGAATCCCACTTAACGCTAGATGTAATCTTATTATCCTTCAATAATTAAGTAAATTAGTCGATCGGATTTGGCGGGATGATGTCCTCTTCCTCTCCTGATCTGCACTAATATTATATTTCCATACGTATATTGCTCCTCTTCTGGCTTCTGCCATTTACTCTCTCTCGTTATGCGATTGTACCAATATGGCTTACCATCTTCTGTTAAATATTATTGCCATTCCTCTTCAATTTCTGACTCTTCATCTTGAAGACACTCAGGTTTATCCCATTAAGATTGCCCAGTCTTTACATTGTAATAATAGGTCTGTCCATTTGCAGAAGAGTGTTTTGACCAATATCCTCTTTCAATGTCTACTTCCTTCTCTATGCTATCCATTAAATTATTTTTAATAAATATTAATTTCCTGCATCAAATATATGAACTGATATATTTATAAATTCAAAATCAAATAATAAATGGAAAATTCAAAATCAGAAATTCTTCATTGGATCAATGCTCTTTTAAAAGTAATGAATTCTAATAACAATAGACAAACTTTTCCAAAATAGAACAACTAGGTAATGGAGTAGCCTACTGCAAACTACTAAATATGATTGATCCAACTTGTTTGAATCCTTCTAAAATAGTACTAAAAACAAAAACCTAAATTGATCACATCAGCAATCTTAAGCTGTTCCAAACAGCTATGCAGAAACTTCACATGAAAAAGCAATTTGACATTGACAAGGTTAGTAAATGTTACTTCCATGAAAATTATGATTTAGCCTTGTTTTTGAAGAAGTAACACACCCTGAGATTCTCTGGCATAAATAAAGAAAACACATCCATCAACAATTCCATAATCTATGAAAATCCTCCAAATATTATTGAAGAATAATAAACTACAAATGAAAATTTGCTTATTTAAATAGCATCTATTATGCAGACTTCAGATTTAGCTGAAAAAAAAGTGTTATAAACAATAAATTTATTGAAATCACATAACATTATTAAAGAAAGTGCTCACTTCATCGAAAATAATACTCTATATGATAATACCAATAACATATTTAACATGTTTAACAATTCTAATCAAAATGTGTTTAATACTGATAATCTATTCAAAACAGATTCAAAAAATAAATAATCTCTTGAATAGTAAAACCACTTACTATGTGAAACTCCAGAAATGCTTCTTGATCCTCATCAGAACAATGAGGATATATTTGAACACTAATCTTCATCCAAATTGATTATGAAAATTCAATCATAATCAAAATAATAATTGGAAATTAAAAAAGAAACCCCAAATTTTTGTGAATCTCCATTTATTTAACAACCACAATAAAATAGTCTTGCTGAATTCATTAAATCAGAAAGTAAATAATAATAACAATATATGCAATAATACTCTATGTAAAAGTAATTGCAGATGTAAAATCAGATAAATAATAATAATCCACCCCAAGAATATTAATCTCCATTTAGAGATTAGGTTATTCAATAATAATTATCTTAATAGAAGGAGATTTTCAATTAGACTACTAATCCTTAAGTTTTTTCTTCTTACAAAAAAGAAACACCTTAAAATAATAATTCTGTGTTTTATTCCTGTAAAGAATAAGGAGCAATAATTGAAGAATGATAATAATATTAATTATATGTTTTTATTATTATTAATTTTTTAAGTTAAATCAGAAGTTGAAAAATAGGGAAATACCGTTTTGTATAAGAAGGATGCCTAATTTGCCTACATAGATTTAGACACCTGTCCGATCTTACTTTATAAGGATCCAATCTATAATACAGAAACTAAAAAAATATAATGGATTCAATTCTGTTAATCAATATAGGGAAAAGTTAAAGTTAATGAACCAACAACTTTAGATGTCATATAGTAAAGTTCAGAAGCTCAAAGACTATCTGCAGATATAAGGTATGAGAAATATTTCTGTACTGATAATTATTAATTGACGGATAAAGGCGAAAATGCATGTTGTTGTGCAGCTGAAAACATTAATACTGAACTTTCTACATAAGGATTAACCGCTGTCATTGTAGTTCCAATAGTATTTTTTATTGGTGGATTGATTATGGCAAAGTTGAATTCTCATAATAGTAGGACAGCATGGATTCATGAATTTGAATAAGCATTATCAAAAGCTTGAGTCGATAACATTAAAATATATTAAAATATATATGATATAGTAATAACAATAATAATCCCCTTATTGGTCTAAAATATTAGAGAATTAATAGTAGGAGAAACAAAAAAATGATTTCTAATTCAAATAGGATCAAGAATTAAGAAAGTAAAGGTACAAATAAGAATTACAAACTGACATGATGCTTCATTAATAGAAGAAATAAGTCTAACAAAATTAAAATCAACAACTAGAATCCATAATGTTAGAGACTTTAAGATAGAGGGAATCCAAGAAATTAAAGGAAATGGAGGAAAGAAAGATTAAGTAAATTCAGACAAGTTTGGATAACCTTAATAATTTGATGATTAAAAAGAAAATGAATTTGGAAAGATCATACAACAACTAATAATTAGATAAGGAATTCATCAGACAGGAATAAGTAAAGGAAATGAAAAGTTTAGAGGAGAGAAAATACAAAAAAGAAGAAGAAGCAAAACTATTAAAATATACATATGATGATATGATCAATAATAAAAGAAAGTTGAGACAGGAGTAATAACAAAATACTCAACCATCTATTCCAACCTTAACAATTGAACATAATAGAGGAAAAATAGATACAAAGAAGTATCAAGAAGATTTATAAAAGTAACTTGAACAAAAATAAAAGTAAATGGAAGAATTAAGATTAAAGAAGATTGAAGAAAGATAGAAGGTAGAGTAAAAGATAGAATTTGAAAAGTAAAGGATGATGGAGAATAAACTCAAAAATTATCAAGCCTATAAATAGTATGAGACCGAAAATTATGAATTATTATTAGATAGAAAATAATAATAATAATAATATAGTAATCCATAAGAATTAAAACTATTCCAGAATGAATCTTAAAATAAATTACCAAGAATTTATCAAGATAATTATTATCCTATTGAACGTAAAAAGCAATTAGAATTACTTGATAGAGATCTAATAAAGTATTAATTATTACAATAGCAGCAAAAGATTATAAACAATAATCATACAATTATAAATCCAGTCTAAAATCATTTATAAGATGGAACTAGATCTGAAAGTTCTAAACAAACAAAATAATCAAAATAAGCTTCAAATTCTTTAAATTAATAAGTTCCATAATAGTAATAAAATATCTAGGTCTCCACTCCTTCTCAAAAATAAAGGAATTCGAATTTTATTGGAAATAACCCCATCGTTCCTTTGAATTAACGATATGTTCCTAAAAAAAGAAGCTTTAATATTGTTACAGGAATCATAACTCCTAATTGATAACCCTCATTTATTTACTCAAATGTAAAGAAATATTTATATAATATCTATGTATTATCATCATTTTTGATATATTAAACATATAAATCTATCTAGTTATTGTTAGAAGTATTAAATTACGAAATAATTATTTCAATATTTTATTGTATCTTTTTTAATCATTTCAATTAATAAGAGAATTTTATCAGGCATTATAATTTATAAAAAACGAATTCAACTATGACTTATAAAAAAATTGTTTTAATAACTCTAATTTGTGTTGTCACATCAACTAAGATTTAAAAGTAATAGAATAATATAATGTAAGTAATTAAGGTGTAATGGATTAATATGTTAACCCAGGTGTATAATAATAGATTGATGAATTAACATAATCAAAGATTGGACATTTAGTTATTGATTTAGCTGAAGTGACAATGAGAGTTACTGGAGCTGTTGATTCACTTACTGAAGGAGTCAAAGCATTTGGAAGATAAATTGAAGAAAGATTAAATTTAGAAAATACATAATGGGAAGTTATTGAAGGTGAACATAATGCTAAAGTTATATCTTTAAGTTCATAAGCTAATTAAGCTGAATTTGATATTAATAGAGAAAAGAAAGTATTAAATTCTGAATTAATTCCAAGAATTTAAGAATTAGATGATGTATTTTATTATAATCTTAATGAAATTAATAGATTTTATTAGGACTTAAAGCTAAATAAACAGATAATAATTAATCATTTAAAGAAGCTGAAGCAATTAGAAATATATAACATGATTCATTTGTATAAACAACTACTGAATTTACAGATGCATTAAGAAATATTGATGAAGCATTAGATTTATTAACTGATTTATTTAAATCTGGTGATATTAGAGCTGCTTTTATTGAAATTTCAGATGAATAAAAACATAAAGTTAATAAAGCATTAAAATAAGTTAAATCAAATACTGAAAAATTTGGACATTAATATTCATCATTTATTTAAGCATTAACTAATTTAACTGAAGGATTTAATTTCAAAGATAGATAAGTTTTAAAAGAAATGTGTGATTTCTTAAATAGTTTAAGATTAAATATATTTGATGCTTTAACTAAAGCATATAAAGATGAAGACAGTTAAAAATAATAAAATTAATTAAGAATATAATAATTAACATCTGAAAAAATAGTATTTGATTAATAATATGCTGATTTCTATTAAGAAAGAGAAGATAAAACTGTTAGAATTTCTGATGTTTAAACTATGATATCTACTAGATAAGCAGATCTTAAAGCTTATTAAGATAGATTAAGAACTGAAAATAATAATTATTCAGCTAATCTTAAAATACATGATGATATTCTAGTAATCTTATCAAATTTATATAGTCATCTGTTTAATAAGAATTAGCAATCTTAGCTAAAGCATTATAAGTTGTTTAAACACCACCATTCTTAGATTTCTTAAATGCAAGAATATCAAAAGCATGAGTTAATAACAATTGAGATCAAACTGTTATAAAATAAATATTTTAATGACAAACTAAAATCATTATAGTTATGTTATGATTTGATTAAACTTTTTAAGAATCTCTCTATTCTTATTAATCTTGGATTCTTCTTTAGTTATTTTGAGTTACATTTATTTGGCTTTTCTTATGACTTCTTCTTAAATACCTGCTAACTATGCTACATTGATGGCAAAACTTTTTTCAGCAACACCTTCAACTAATTTGTATTTAAAAATAACTGAATCGTTTTCTCTATAATATAACATAACACATTGTTTGATATTCTTATACAATTCAAATTCATCTAATAAAATATTATAATGTGTAGCAAATAAAGTAATCGGTTTTACTTTTTCTGATAAAAATTTTAAAACAGCAGAAGCTAATGCTACACCATCATATGTTGAAGTTCCTCTACCTAATTCATCAATTATAACTAAACTTTTTGAAGTAGAATAATTTAATATTGCTTTAGTTTCTTCAAGCTCTATAAAGAAAGTTGATTTTCTCTCTAATAATCTATCTGAAGCTCCAAGTCTACAGAAGATCCTATCAAAAGGAGTTAAAGAAAATTATTAGGCTGGTACAGCACACCCAATTTAAGCAATAATTATAGAAACTCCAATTAATCTTAACAAAGTGGATTTGCCACTCATATTAGGACCTGTTAATAACAAAGTATCAATAGAATCAGTAAATGAAATTGTGTTTGGCACCTATTCTATATTTCTATTTAATAATAAACTAGGATGATATGCTTAAATCAATTTAAAATCTCTTTCATCAGAATCCTTATTTATTTTTGGAAAACATGAGACCTGTTTTTATTATTCCTTTGATACTAGAGCTAAAGAAATTCTAATAAATAAATTAATAAAAGTACAGGCAATCAGCTTCTGAAAGATAAGAAATTAATTAGAAGAATTCTTTTCTATAAGTATAGAATTTAGTGAAATATTCATTAATAAAGGTAAGTAATTTTTAGGAGAGTTCATCTTCTACCAATCTTAATTGAGATAGTTATTCTTCTATAAATGGTGTCTAAAATCTTAAAAATCCTTGTATTTTTGAAGTGATTATTAATTCTTTTGGTTTTTAATGTATTTCAACATATTTTTCAGGTATTTCTAATTAATATCTTATTTTTGAATGAATGTAATTAATTTCTGGACATTCTAACATCTTCTTCCACTTTTCAAGTTCAAATTAAAATGAATCAGTAATTTTAATTATTTTATTCATTGTCTGATCGTATTCTGGATTGATTCCTTAAACAGGTTTTGGTTCATTATCTTCTATAATCAAATATTTTTCTAATTCATCAAGTGATTATATCAAAATATGAGTATTCTATTTATAAGTAAAGATTTCCTCCAATTTTTGGGATTTAAATTATTTAATATTTTAATTAAATATCTTAAAAGCTTCAGCAGCCTATCTAATATTGCTCAAAACATTTTTAATTTCCTTTAATTTAGTTTTACTTATATTTTCACCTTTATTAGATGGAACAGGCTTTAGTTTATGAGAATGAATTGTATTGAAACATTTAACTATTGCACGCTCTAAATCTGTTAATGATTTAATTCTTTTCTGGAATTCATAACATTCAGGCATGAAATTACAAAGTTCTTTAACACATTACTATCTTTCAATAATTGATTTATAATTCTATAATGGACTTTATACCCATTTAGTAAGGAGTCTCTTACCAGAATGAGTTACACATTTATTCAAATAACTAAATAAACTACCAGAATTAGTAATTTAAGTTTGAAGATTTACATTAAAGATTTCCAAACCTTCTAATGTTTATGAATCTAAATAAAGATGAGTGTTAAGAATAAAATTGGAATCCAGAAAATTGAATTTACCTCTTCTGTAAACTGAATTACTAATTAAAAGTTATCTAAGANATTTAATAAGAATTAGCAATCTTAGCTAAAGCATTATAAGTTGTTTAAACACCACCATTCTTAGATTTCTTAAATGCAAGAATATCAAAAGCATGAGTTAATAACAATTGAGATCAAACTGTTATAAAATAAATATTTTAATGACAAACTAAAATCATTATAGTTATGTTATGATTTGATTAAACTTTTTAAGAATCTCTCTATTCTTATTAATCTTGGATTCTTCTTTAGTTATTTTGAGTTACATTTATTTGGCTTTTCTTATGACTTCTTCTTAAATACCTGCTAACTATGCTACATTGATGGCAAAACTTTTTTCAGCAACACCTTCAACTAATTTGTATTTAAAAATAACTGAATCGTTTTCTCTATAATATAACATAACACATTGTTTGATATTCTTATACAATTCAAATTCATCTAATAAAATATTATAATGTGTAGCAAATAAAGTAATCGGTTTTACTTTTTCTGATAAAAATTTTAAAACAGCAGAAGCTAATGCTACACCATCATATGTTGAAGTTCCTCTACCTAATTCATCAATTATAACTAAACTTTTTGAAGTAGAATAATTTAATATTGCTTTAGTTTCTTCAAGCTCTATAAAGAAAGTTGATTTTCTCTCTAATAATCTATCTGAAGCTCCAAGTCTACAGAAGATCCTATCAAAAGGAGTTAAAGAAAATTATTAGGCTGGTACAGCACACCCAATTTAAGCAATAATTATAGAAACTCCAATTAATCTTAACAAAGTGGATTTGCCACTCATATTAGGACCTGTTAATAACAAAGTATCAATAGAATCAGTAAATGAAATTGTGTTTGGCACCTATTCTATATTTCTATTTAATAATAAACTAGGATGATATGCTTAAATCAATTTAAAATCTCTTTCATCAGAATCCTTATTTATTTTTGGAAAACATGAGACCTGTTTTTATTATTCCTTTGATACTAGAGCTAAAGAAATTCTAATAAATAAATTAATAAAAGTACAGGCAATCAGCTTCTGAAAGATAAGAAATTAATTAGAAGAATTCTTTTCTATAAGTATAGAATTTAGTGAAATATTCATTAATAAAGGTAAGTAATTTTTAGGAGAGTTCATCTTCTACCAATCTTAATTGAGATAGTTATTCTTCTATAAATGGTGTCTAAAATCTTAAAAATCCTTGTATTTTTGAAGTGATTATTAATTCTTTTGGTTTTTAATGTATTTCAACATATTTTTCAGGTATTTCTAATTAATATCTTATTTTTGAATGAATGTAATTAATTTCTGGACATTCTAACATCTTCTTCCACTTTTCAAGTTCAAATTAAAATGAATCAGTAATTTTAATTATTTTATTCATTGTCTGATCGTATTCTGGATTGATTCCTTAAACAGGTTTTGGTTCATTATCTTCTATAATCAAATATTTTTCTAATTCATCAAGTGATTATATCAAAATATGAGTATTCTATTTATAAGTAAAGATTTCCTCCAATTTTTGGGATTTAAATTATTTAATATTTTAATTAAATATCTTAAAAGCTTCAGCAGCCTATCTAATATTGCTCAAAACATTTTTAATTTCCTTTAATTTAGTTTTACTTATATTTTCACCTTTATTAGATGGAACAGGCTTTAGTTTATGAGAATGAATTGTATTGAAACATTTAACTATTGCACGCTCTAAATCTGTTAATGATTTAATTCTTTTCTGGAATTCATAACATTCAGGCATGAAATTACAAAGTTCTTTAACACATTACTATCTTTCAATAATTGATTTATAATTCTATAATGGACTTTATACCCATTTAGTAAGGAGTCTCTTACCAGAATGAGTTACACATTTATTCAAATAACTAAATAAACTACCAGAATTAGTAATTTAAGTTTGAAGATTTACATTAAAGATTTCCAAACCTTCTAATGTTTATGAATCTAAATAAAGATGAGTGTTAAGAATAAAATTGGAATCCAGAAAATTGAATTTACCTCTTCTGTAAACTGAATTACTAATTAAAAGTTATCTAAGATAACATAATAAGAGATAAAAAGATTGGATAGAATAATAATAAGAATAAAAGTTAGATTCATCATCTTCTTTATCTGATTATTTTTTTTCATGATAAAATTGTTTCTCCATTTCTATTAATAAATTAGGATAATCCTAACTCAATTAATAATTCTCAACAATTTATTCTTCTCGAATCTCTTATTTTTCATTTGAAAACAATCCTTTATTGATGTCAATTTCCATTTTTTCTTCAAATTAATGTTTATAAGTAGGTATAATTATGCCATCAAATAATTTTTATTTATTAATGGTTTTTTCTTTACTTAATTCCATATATTCAGTTTTTAATTGTTGAAAGATGAATTTACAATCTTTGAAGGATTTATTGGACAGAACAACAGTAGGGTTACATATATTTCTAAATTTATTAAAGATATATAATTATACTTAATAATTTTTTCAATTTCAGGTGAAGTTCTACATAAGATGACTTCAACAGGTTTAGTATTATAAATAACAGATCTTAAACGATTGTATTAAGCATCATCATAGAATTAATCAAAACAAAATTCGTTAGTAGTACAATCAACTATCGAAATGCCAAAAATATATGAGTGGCCTTTTAAATTGAGTGGTATTTTTTAATATACTAACACTAATAGATTTCTTTATTCATAAGAATCTGTTTCTCCTAAATCTTGTAGAGTGCCTCTACTTATCATTTAAGTAATTTCTCTTTTTATAACTTTTCCATCTTCTTTAGATGCCAATTCTGCTTTCTCCATTTATTCAATTATCATCACTTTATATCCTTTTTCTAATAAAGATCTCTAATATATTGGCAGTTGATTATCATAGACAGTTAAACATGGTCTGTCTTTTCCCCAAAATCCTAAGTATCGATTGAATATTTTAGCAATTATAATTGCATCATTGTAGATCACAGCTATCCATCTACCGCATCTAAAGAATAAAATAGAATCAAAATGATTTCGTTTTGCATTCCAATATTATTTTAACATTGGTGATAATTTTTCATATTGATCATTTGGAATATAAATAGTAGATGGATTATATTTTGGTTCATCTGGCCGTCTTCCTTTTGAATCTCGAATGTTTTCAGGTTGCATGAATAAGGGTAATGTTAATTAAGCTATTTTATAATACTCTTCATCACCTTTAGTAGGTTATTATTCCTCTTATTAAATTTCTTATTATTATTATTATGTCTTTTAAGGTTATTTTTTTTATCTAATTCTTTTTGAGTTCGCAGTAGTATTAGATTATCTTTTTTTATTCAGTTTTTCATCTTCAGAATTAGGTTGAAGTTCAAATTAAGATGATTCATTTAATGGTTCAGGAGTATAATTATTTAGATTATCATTATCACCATCTCTCTTTACTTTGCAAGTAGCTCTATTTCTTTTATTGGATTTCTTCTTATATTACCTTTTGGATATCTCAAACATCTCATCATCATTATCTAGATCATCATTCTTACTCATTTTGATTTCGTACCAAAATATTTCTTTAATTTAATTTTAAATTTTTTGTCTCCATCTTTAATGTCATCAGATAGTAATAAAAAGCCTATAGTCATAATTCCATAAACCAACATGAACATTAGGAGATTGGAAATTGAATAAGTGGATTAAAGTGATGAATTAGAAGCATCATCAGAAAAAATCTCAGAATAACAATCAGATGATCCCTTTTTAAATTTTGTTACTTCTTATTCACTTTTCACCAATAATTCAGAAGATACTTAATTAGATCTCACATAAGTTTTATAGCAACTTAATGATAAGATTTCAATCATCAAACCACCATCAGATCACTTATTAGACTTTCATTAGTAATTATAAATTAAAGAAAATCAAATAAATGAATTAGCAGATTCTCTTAAATAATTACCAGATTCAAAACTTTTCTCTTGTATTCAAGATGTTGAAAAGTAATACTATCCTCAAATTATCTAGACTATATTATAGATTATCCGTTGATTTTTAAGAGGAATTACGCATTGCCTAAAAACTAAGAATTGTTTGATATTCATTAATAATTATGTTATATATTTCGTTTGATATACATTACATTATTAAATTTTAGTTTCCTTCTAATGTAAATCAATTATATTCATATATAATTCACTCTCTTTTCACTCTCCTTTAATATTATGGTAGCATAAAAATTGATGTTATGTAATTGATAAACATAAGAAGAATATTTAAATTCTGGTCATACTATTAATTAGAAACAATCAATTTAATCAACAGACCTAGTTATTGTAATTCATATAATAACTCAATATACTTAAAAGAAGTTTTATTAAACGATTCAGTAAATTTAATACTATATAATAAGATAATGTATTTATAATCATGAGGATTAGGCTACTAATTATTTATTATCGTGATTACAAATTGGACTATGAGACTATCTTTTAGAATATAGGGAATTCTTAGTTGCAGGTACTAAAACTGGTACTTCCACAATTTTATTCTGGTTTTAGTCAAATATTCGAATAGTTTTTGACTTATCTAGATAATTTGTATTTTATATAGATTATTCTGCTTTAGTATCACTCTTATTATTTTTGTCTAATTTAATGGATGAAGTTTGACATATTCCCATTTTTTATAAGAGTGATTTTAAAAAAACTTAATAAATTAATATATTAAAAACATATTAAAACATAAATATCAAAACTAAATAGTGAGGACTTAAAATCAAATTGCTGTCAGAGAATTTGATCTTTATCTTGATATTGTTTTTTTTTAATTTGGATTTTGATTTGCACTTTTGATCCTTTACCTACTTTATGTAGTACTGCAAGAAGTCATTCTTTTTAAAGGGCTAATGCAAGTCGAATTTCGAGGTGATTCTTAATCTAAATGGATAAAAAACCATCTGAAAACCTTTTAGTAAATCTAAAATGCGATATTACAACAAAAACTAGGTGTCACAATTGGCAATAGAAGCTCTTAGCACGAAATCATTTTATATCAACATATCTTGTTTGAATAAGTAAGTTACCTTTGATCATCCCCTTTTGTTCATAAGAAATCAAATTCTTCTGATACAATGAGTACAGTGCATACAACACTTCGGTCTCTATTGACATATATATTAATTAATTATTATATATATATATATTAAAATGATCTAGATGAGTCATTATTATAAGCTAATACTTTAAATTCTATATTATTATAAAATGGAAGGATTGCTTAATTGTCAAATTGGTTTCTCTACATAAAAATACTATTTCATTCTACATGATTCTGTGTTGCTGTATTGTAAAAAGAAAGGAAATCGTGTGATTGGACAAATACATTTATCAATTGCCAAAGTTGAAAAGAGAGAGTGTTAAATCAATATAACAACAGGAATTGAAAAGATTATATTATTGTTTGAAAATAACTTTGAGAAAGATGTTTGGTTTGATTGCATCTAAAAGTAGAATCAGAAATTGCATTTAGAAGATGAATTAGAGAAAGTAAGATCATTACAATATCAATTCGAAAGCACCCTTAAATTTGTGAATAAAACAATTGAGTAAAATCCAAATCTAAATTCATATTCTGAAAGATTATAATCCTATGGATCAATTTTCATTGGTATTAATATATTTGATATTTATTAGATAAATTAAGTGAAATCGTAGATCTACTCTATTAATCAGCATAACCTGAATTTTAAAGCTGTTAATCTATCAATTCAATACACACTTAGAGTTTAAAACCAGCACCATTGATCAAAAAATCACAGAAACTCAAATAATAACAATTTAATGTTTGGGGGAATGTTAAAAATCATATTCTAAATAACAATATTTATAATATGAAATTACCAAGTATATTGATATACATATCTAGTCTACCTACATTAACCATCAACAATGTTGTAATAGGTGGCAACATAAATGAAATACATATCAATTTTAGATCGAGCAAGTTCAATTAGAGATCCTGACTTTAAAATTGCTTTAATCTTTGGTTTTCTTATATCTCAGTATTCATCCATTCCAAAATTATTGCCTCTTCCTTCAAAGATCAATGAAACTTTTGAAATAGTTGATACCTACAAGTATTTATCTTAGCAAATCAATGAAAATACAATAGCCTTCTATGCCACATCTCCTAGTCTTGATTATAATGGATAAATTGAATATTAATTCTCATTTGACAATCTGATCCTAGATATTAATTTGGTCAAATCATTATTTATTTCTTTCAAAAAAAATCTGGACACTTATAAGATATATTCGACCAATCATTTTATTTCCATTAAGAATTTAGTAACTTAAAAACCAGAAATTGTTGTTGAAGGAAACTTTATAATCGATTTTAAGGGAACCTAATATGAAATTTAAATCAGATCAAATTAAATTAAAGCAGTTGTTGGATAATTCTCAATTTCTGGTACAACTAATAAAGTATTATTAAATTTTAAAAAGAATAAAGTTGATTGCTAATAACTTTTATAATGAAGAATTGATATTGTTTTAAAAAGATGAAAAAGAATTTGAATTCAATAAACATAACCCGTTATTGCCTCCGTCAGATAGTAGATTTCGATCTGATTTAATTTCTATGCTTGAAGGTATTATAAGTTTTTAATATAGGAAATTATTATGAAGCTCAATAAGAAAAAGATAGAATGATATTTGAAGGTGAATTTTTATAGTCGTGGTTTAATCCAGTATAAGCAGATTAAATTATGTATTCTATCAATTAAGTATATTAAGAAATTCAAATGAAAAGAGATATGATTACAAAGGAGGATACTTTACTTAATCTATTCAATGAATTTTAAATTTTTGTATTCACATTAATAAATTTATATAATTTTAGTGTAGAATCTAGTATCAAGTGATTATATAGATTACTTATAATCCTTAAATTAATTTTTTCCCTTAAATATTTATTATATTTAAATGATAAATCATACTATTATCTTTTATTAATATATTTTATTTAAATAGAAGGAACATTATTAAACGGTAAGAAATAAATAATTTTAATAGATTGATTTTCAATAGTTTTCAAAAACTTTTTTGAGGTTTATTAGATAAAAACATTTATAATGTAATGGATCAAAATTTACATTTAATCTTTGGTGGATATACTAAATAATATGGGATTCCTTCCTGTATTATTTGAATTTAGGTGTATGCATATCTAAGTCTAAGGAAGATTATTACAATAGAATATTCTAAAAATAATCTAATAAATTATGATGATGGAAATTATATTATAATAAAATTTTAGTCTAGCTAAAAAACTAAAGAAAAATATTTAAGAGGATTTATATTCTAAACATCAATTTATATTTAATTTATTATTTGAATTATTATTTTATATAAATTATTTTAAATATTTTATATGTCAAGAGAAAGAGGGTTGTCAGATTAATTTAATAATGATAGAGATAAAATTAAATAATTAGAATCCAACTTGAAAGCTTAATATGAAAAGTTATTTGGTTTAGAAGATAATTAAGAAATTATACAATAATAAGAAAAGACTAATTAGGATTAATCATTAATTTTTTTAAATCAACTAATTGAATCATAACCAAAAAGGAAATAGAGTTTCTGATATATATGTTTTATTATTTAATTAATAATGCATGATCATCATCATAAATCAAGTATACCTTATCATGAGAAATTATTTAAATATTTTTTAATTTCTTTATATACTAAATTAAATTTATTTTCAATATATAATACTTAAAAATTTAACTATTATCATATCTAAGAGAGACCATTTGAAATAAATATAAAATTATTGAACATATAATGTTTTTGTAAATAAAATAACTTATTGTTTCTTAATTCTATAAAATGATAATTTTTATGTTTATATTGATTTTCATCTTCTAATTCTAGGTTTTGTGTGTTTTATTCATATTTATAATTAAATTATTTAGTTCATTTTTATACAAATATGTATTTAGTTATTTTTTGCAAGCTTTTAAAAAAAACAAAATTGTATTAGTATTGATTAAATTAAGAGTTGAATAGTTGGATAGCTTTTTATTTTAACTTTAAAACAATATTTATGAGAATTTCTGATCAATATCAATCCATTATTATTATATTATTTAATAAATATTTAATCAAAATTAAATTATTGGGCCATCATAATTCTTATCATATGTTTAATATTCATTAAAATAATGCTCTATAAAATATAGAGAGTATAATACCTTATTGATAAAAAAATAATGATGTGATTAAATGAAAGATGAGCCAAAATCATTTTACTGAAAATTCTATTTAGTTAATTGTTGAAAGCGGAAAAATTGATAATTAAATTAATAAATTCAAATGAATTATTAACAATAAAGATTAAATCTGGAAGATGAGATTTTAACTATAAAAGATTATAGATAAACATGTAGAGATAAGCTTCTATTTGTGAAGATTTATTCATTAATGAAGGTTAAAGTATATGACTATTAAAGAATGCTTAGTAGCATCAATTAACAGAGGAAG